CTTTCTGTGGAGGAAGGCATGGAGTACAGCTCAGCAGAACCTTGCAGTCAACGTACAATTCAGTAACTTGCCCTGTTGGCTCTTTCCTTTCCATGATATAGGTCAGAAGGCTGTCCACACAGGCATAATAGTGCAGACACCACAGAGAAAATAAGAATAAACTTTATATTATATAGCACCTTTAAAGGTGGCTTCTCAAAGCGCTTTATAGGCTGACAACAACAATAAATAAGAATACACAAGATAAAACACAATTACAATATATAGAGGAGACTGTGGATGGTGGTACTAAGAAAAGCAGAGGGGTGAAGAATGGAACCAGTTAAGTAAAGGCTTTTCTGAAGAAGAGGGTTTTGGGTCTGGATTTGAAGGAGTTCAGAGAAGGTGACTCTCTGATATCCTTGGGGAGAGAGTTCCAGAGCTTGGGGGCATAGCAAGAGAAGGCCCTGTCACCCATACAATGTAGCTTGGCTTGGGCCACAGTAAGGTGAAAGAAGAAAAATCCACATTCGGAGGAAGGAGGAGGAAGAAGAAAGCTAAGACAAGGGCCTGCTCATCAATGCCTTGCAACAAGGGAGGTGACAGGCTGTTCCAGTCCTGTGCTCCATCAGAAGAAGGGATATGGCTCAGAAGTGGATACTGGGGCTCTTCCCCGCCAGCCGCACAGGAGAACTGAAGCACCACCTGACTTCCATGAGCAGTCAGGAAAGTGCAGGGAATTTTAGTGCATCTTTTGAGATGGGGGGTTGAAAAAGAGTTGAAAACTGAAGGGGTCAGCAGCCCCAGAACAATGGAAGCTTAATCCAATGAAGATATTTCTATTTTCTGGAGACTATTTCAGAATTCCCAGAAAGCTTTACGACTGTCAAGATCAGGAGAATATAAGAACGGTTACAGATTAGAGAAGGATATTTCACCTATCCCTCAAATATGCTAGTTAGTTAGCTAACTGATCCAAGCTCATCCAGCTGTTACTGAAAGAAGCCACAGTATCTTCAACAACATGGCTGCTCAGCTTGTTCCAACTCCCAAAACACTTTGGGTTCGGTTTGGGGTATTAAATGCACTTCCATGTATTTTCCACGTGTGCCTCTTGTGATTGGTGCCTCCCTGTTCATTTTGAAGAAGTCCTCCGAGTTGACGGTCAAGGCCTTTGAGAATTCTGACTAAGGGGTCGGATTCCCTCAACCTTCTCAGTGCAACACGAAAACGTTTCTGTTCATTCAGCCGGTCAGTGTGGGACAATCTCTTAAAACACAGAAGGTATCTGGTTGCTCTTCCCTGGGTAGATTTCAGAGCAGTCATTTTTCTATAGTGTTCAAACCATCATTCACTGACAGCCATGCTCACAATGATGATAAGAGGCAATCATTACACTCCGCCCAGCGCCGGCTCCTGCTGCACTGCCAACAGGCTGCCCACTTCTAAAGGAACTGAAGGCCGAGTCCTCAAGCCAGACTCGGGGGTGATCTGGAGCTGTGAGGGTTCAGCCGGCCCTCATTTAACAGAGTAACAAGACTTTCCTTCCCCCGCAAGCAAAGGCTGATGGGACATTAGAAAAACACATTCAAGAAATCAGTTTCCAAACAATAAGTCAGTGTTGGTCAAAGAGAAAAATATCCTCCTAAACACAATTCATTCCAACAGATCAAACTGATTAATCCCTTTTAGCCAAGCGATATTCTTTTAAACTGTCTCTTAGGCAGATGTGATCCCAACTGCGGCCTGGTCATACCTGCTTAGCTAGCTTACCCATCGAATGCCCACCACACTTTTACTTTGGCCCCCTGTAGAACTTCACTCCTGTTCCACGAGCAACGCCGGCCCTGGCACAGTCACGTTCCTCTGCAGCTGCCAGAGGCCGAGAGATCAAGGACGAGAAAGCGCCAGTAACCTCTGCAGCCCACTTTGGCAGACCGAGGGAGTGCACTGCTGGAGTCAGGCTGGAGAGCACTGAGGTCTGCTCAGCCTGGGGGCCCTGCGCTTGCAGTGTTCTTTAGTCAGCCTTTAGTCAGTCTTCTGGCTCCTATATTAAAACCTAAAGGCATTGGTCAGAAAAAAAAGCAATGAAATAAACGGCTAAAAACAGGCCTCAATAATAAGGGCCTGAGATGAGACTAAAATAACACGCAGCGTAACTCCTCAGGATGTTTCAAAATGAGCCAAAAACCCTCCTGTGCAACAGTGTTACCCTCCAATCTATACACAGTGCAGCAATGCAGGGACGTTAATTTACAAGGGTGCCTGTTTAAACTCGGTAGTACTCTTGCAGATGCGCTGTGCAGCCTGAGACGCTGGAAGACAGAGGGTCTTTTGAGGCGGAAAGGGTTTTAAAAATGAACTACAAACAAGCTGACAGGCTTTGTTGAAAAGACAACTGATCATTTGGGTGGATGAAAGGCTCTAGATAGCAAACTTCGCTAAGCATTTACGCACAGTGTTCAGCGATACCAAAAGACCCTGTTACAGATGAAGTGGTGCGTGTCGCTGCAAAGGCCTTACGGGGGCTGTCTTTAGAGAAGATCATTTACAGGCAAGCGCGCTGTACCTTTGATTGTATGCTCTTAAACCTCTGTGAATTAGGGTTGCTGGGACAGGCTCAGTGCAGGGCAACTCGGCTCCAGCGCTCAGTGTCTTCTAAGTGTCCTCCCATCCGAGGTCTTAGCTAACTATATGAACTCATTGTTTGCTTGGCTTGAGCCAAATGAACCCTTTTTCTTCCCCAGGGCCTGGAGCAGCCACAGCTGAAAGAGATCTGCGACTCCTGCGGAACCGCAGCCAGGCCCGAAGGCTGCCATGCTAAACTTTCTCCCGGCCTGCATGTACAGTACACCATCTTCTAACACCGCGGGCGCAGGGAAACTGAGAGGAGAGCTCACTTCAGGAGACGGCACACACAAGACAACACCCCACCATTCTAATCACAAGGCAAACCCCGAGGCAGGTCCAAGCCCGTCTTACAACTCCTGCAGCCTGCTGGCCTAAAAAAACCAAAGTTTCTCAGTGAAAGCGGATACAGAAACAGTTACTGCCACTCTGTGTTCACAACAAGATGCAAGCTGAACAATTTTAGAACTGCATGGGACAGGAACCCTAGGACCCCACTATAAGATAACATTAAACAATGGCTTATTCCACTGCCCTGTAACAAACTATAACACAGTTTTCTTATCAAAACACTGGAAAGAACTTGAACTCCACTCTCCTGTTTCTGAAAGAAAAAAAATCACTAGTCATAACCATGTAAAGCCTATTGTAGAAGAGTTGTATAGGTAATAGGTCTGAGATATAAATAATCAGAAAACGTGTGTGTGATAAAGTGTTTCTTCTTTCTACTTTTCAGTGTGGAAATAACTTCTACTTGTTCCTTTGCAGCCAATGTACACTGGCACAGCTCCCCACTGAAACCCATTAAAATCCGACTATCCCTCGAATCAAACCGGCAACAATGACAAAGTGATCTTTTTCTGTGCAGGTAAAGAGCTGTAAAACGAGTCTTCTAGGAAAACCTGCCAGGACAAGGCGGAGACCTGGGTCTTTGAGCTCAGTGCTCCCTGCCTCGAGAGCAATCAAGAAATTAAACGTACTATCAGGCAGTGTAGCTGCAAGGTAAGGCCAAAACTGTTTTAAAAAAAATGATACCAGCCACACCCAATGAAATTCACTAAAAATAACACTGATCTTTACATGAGTGAAAGTTATACCGCACAACTCAGGCAAAGCAGGCTTTGAAGCACTCGTGCATGAAGTTGAAACGGTCCTGGTTTCAGTTTCACCAGGAGCAGAAAGAGAAGAAGCCTCTTACAACCAGGGAATGAGGTTACCAGCTTGAGAACACCTCTGACTGACACCTCCTTCACACCACAGCTGCCCCCTTTGACCCAAAGTGAAAGTGTTCAAAAGCCGGTCCTCCTGACTTCACACCTGAATGGCATTAAGACCGAAAAAAACCTTTGCTAAACTTGAAATGCCCACACATATTCTCAAGATAACTGCACATCAGACATGTGTTTTTTCAAAAAGTATTGCCTATTCTTGCATTGTTTTCCTGGGTGTCCCAGGAAATACTGCCCTGTTCCAAAACTAAAGATCTGACAGCATCTGACAGCACAAAGATTTTCTTGGGAGATTAAACAGGGATCAACTTGACGAAGCACCACCGAAGAGCAGCAGCAGAGGATGTTGCTTTCACGGTTTACACTTAATGACTTTTCACAAACAAGCCATTACCTCCCAGTGACCTCTACAGCAGGAGCACTCACTACTGCCACAGAGAGCAGCGATGCTCCAACTAAAGGAAAAGAGACGATATCCCTGGTCACCATACACACAGGAGCTCAGCTGCCTAACAGCATGCCTGCTGGAGATTTCAAAAGTGTCATGAGAGACAAAAGTACCCAGACCTAATCCAGGAGGTACAAAGATCCCAGCCCTGCAGGGCTAGAAAGTTTCTGGCTTTCCTTTTACCCGAACAAGTAATTATGAATACTTAATACTTTAACTCATTAGGAGGAAAAGTTGAAACCTTTTCTTGTTCTTTTTTAGATTTAGGGTGACCTATAAAATCTGTTGGACCTTGAAGACACCAGAGTTGGGCTCCCCTGTCATAAACGACAGCAGGTCCAGTCTCACTCTCCTTCTGTCTCGGTCCAGACGTTCATTCTTGTTAACTGGAATTGCAGTCAAGTACACAGCGTTTCTCTACACTCTACACCCAAATTACCAGCGCAGCCACGACTAAGGACTGAAGACCCCGAAATACGGTGACGGTGATGTTACCGCAGGTCCTCCCGATTTAACTGTCGTGACTGTTAACATTATTAGTATCATTAGACGCTGGGCTCGGGGTGAAATGAGTCTGGAGATCTCCAACATCACAAAGACGGCGGATGGGCAGCTAGACTAAGGACTGCGCCTTGCTTTAAATCCCTTGGCGCACCCAAACTGTTAGCTATGCATCATCAAATGAAGATGTTTGCTGAGGAGGGCGGTAGGTCTACCTCGCAAGCTGTCAGGGCAGTGCGATTAATCAAGGAGTCGCCATCAGTCAAGAGAACGTCGCCAGTATTTTGTTATTTTAGGATGCCGTGTGCTATACATCCAGGTCCGTGCGAACTGCGATTATCACCAGGTCGCCTCTGCGCAAAGGCTTCTTTCCATAATCCGGAGACTCGCATCATCCCGTTACTCAACTGCAGCGTCATGCTGTACGGACCTCGGACAAGTGTCCAGGGTTAGAAAAGCAACGTGCAAGGACGGCGAATCGCCGGCGCCCATCGCCCCCACCCCCACAGGTCTGGCGGGCGCAGTGTGCAGCCTCTCCCGGCCACACACACACACACCCGCTCCCGCACTCCGCCGCTGAGGAAACCGCCGATTCACGGCAACGGGGCACGCTGGAGAGCCCATCCATAATTCATTATAAACAACAATGACAACTCGAGCGTAATAACTGGCTTGAGACGGGGAGCGGAGGAAAAAAAAATCCGAGGCACGAAGCATCCACGATTTGCACCACGTAAATGGAGCATGATAATTAATCTACTTTCCACTTTGATTAAAAGAACACGCACGAATCCCAACTTTTCCACGTCGAGCCTGCAGAAATTGCACTCCCACCCTCCTTGTCTGGAGGTAACTATGTAGGCTTATCCGTGATTTGCAGCGGTTTGGAGGCACGGAGCGGCAGTGATTTCCTGCCAGGGTGACCCTCCAGTTCACTCCTGCTCCTGCTCCTCTTTCCCGCAGTTCCCAGCTCACGATCCCGTCTTCCCGACGCCCGGCCGGAGCACCGCTGCAAGATCAGGGCAAGACAAAACACGGACCTTCTTACCTCATCGTTGGGGATCCATCGCGAATTACAGCTTTAATAACAGTCAATTCAGAATATTTAAAACCACCAGACCCCCCTCCTGCTCGTTGCCAGTATTTTCCTTGCTTCCAGACTCCCGTTTTTTTTCTTTGAGCCGCCGTACTGCTGCGCAACCTACCCGACCCGGCCTCGTCAAGCCTTCCAAAAGATTGACAGCAGCACAGTCCAATAGGCAGCCAAGTAGAGGGATTTCGCAAGGAGTTTGGGTGACTCTAACCAATAGAATGAGAGATACTATTTGACGGACGGAAGGCAGGACAAATGGGAGTGTTGGGCGTATTCCGGCTCTGGACCGATCCCACTCTTTCCACTGACTGATGATAAAGAAAGCCAATAGAAAGAAGATGATAGTTAATTGACGGATCGTTCAGGCAGTCGCTGCTCAAGTTTTCGCCCCTTTCCTCCTGAGTTTGTGAAGATTTTTTGTGAGCGGAGCGAATGAGAAAGCAGCCGTCGCCCGGTCTGCTAAAATCGCAGGAACGAGGGGCGCGACTTTGGGAAGTTGTTTGGATCGGGAGGATTGTAGAGCAGGTAAGGTCTCTTCCTAGTAATGCACCATCCTAATCGCTCGGAGGGAATTGCACACTCGGATTCTTTAATCACCAGTCACCACTTTTTTCCTGTACTGCTGAAGTCACTTGGGATAGTACACTGCCATGAGTAAACACAACAGCGTTTGATTTCTATACAGTGTCGCTTTGGGTTTTTCATTGAAATGCATCCCCAGCAGAAATATGCGTCTCCTCCCGGTCTCTCCTTGTGTCAGAACGGTCAGGAACGCTGCATGCTGGACAGCCGACACGCCTCCTGTTGGGATCAGATTCGAAACATGTTGATGTGATGACTGCTGACGATGATTATTCTTCTGGATTCAATGGCTGTTGGACGCATTAAATTAGTAAGCACTTTCAGCTGGGGCCATGGTAATATAAATCAGAATAGCTTATTCAAGGCTGGTCAATGCTGGAGTGTCTTCACGATTTCCGGGTCTCTTTAAAATTGTAGCATATTAGTTGCTGGGAGAAACTGGAACTGGTCCAGTTAAGCCAGTAACAAATTGGTTTAGGTTTCATTAATGAATGAAGTGGAATAAACACTCACAGACACACCAGCCCTCCAGGATCAAAACTGGACACCCCTGGTCTAGCTCAAAGGGTGTAGGAGTTACTTGCAGTTTGTCTGCCATGGCGTGCTGTAGATTCACACCTTATTATTGGCTTTCAGAGAGTGAGGTTTTCTGTAGCCGTGTGCAGCACAGTCTCCTGGCATGCACAGGTTCAAGGGTTGTAACGCTGCCTACTGTGAGACTGTTTATTCCAAATGTAAAAATGCTGGTGCAATAGACCCATATGTATACTGTATATGGCATGGAATATACATTGCATTAAAGTCAACCATAAGAAGACAACAGAGACTGACGATTGGTCGTAAACGGGCTTCTGTCATGTTGTTCCTGTGGCTGGACTCGGGAACTGCAGAATGTTTCTCTCTCCCACAATGACTGTCATAAGGACATATCGCCTTGTGTTTGAGCTGTCACTCAGCAAAGTTTGAAGCACTGAAAATGGATGTCCACCTCCAGTCCTTAAGGGCTGCAGGCCATCTGCTAATTATCTATAATTATAACTCCTCATTTTGAATACAGCTGTTTTTGTTGATGTAAATAAATAAAATAAAAATACATTTATATAGGGTTGCAACTCACAACTGGCAACCCACTGAAGCTCAGTATCTGGATGGGAGACCTCCAGGGAAGAATAAAGGTTTCTGCTGGAAAGGGTGTTATTGGGGCCAGCAGGGGGGCGCTCACCCTGCGGTCTTTGTTGGTCTTAATGCCTCAGTATAGTGACGGAGAAACTTTACTGTAAAAAGGCGCCGCCCTTTGGATGACAAGGATGAGACGTAAAACCGAGGTCCTGACTCTCTGTGGTCATTAAAAATCCCAGGGTATTTCTCGAAAAGAGTAGGGGTGTAACCCTGGTGTCCTGGCCAAATTTCCCATTGGCCTTTACCAATCATGGCCTCTTAATAATCCCCATTTATAAATTGGCTTCATCACTCTGGTGTCCTCCCCAATGATAGCTAATGTGTGGTGAGCGTTCTGGCGTATTATGGCTGTAGTTGCATAGTGATGGATGCTGCACATTGATGGTGGTGGGGGGGAGTCCCCATTATCTGTAAAGCACTTTGAGTCCAGTGTCTAGAAAAGCGCTATATAAGTGTAAGGAATTATTATTATTAAATTATACTCTCCTTTATTTTTCTCAGGCTGCTTTTTGCTGAGCAGGGATTTCCACCCCAAGATCCGCTTTAAAATGAAGGGGCTTTACTGTAAATTAAGTGAAAGTACTGCGGAAGAAGTGAAGTTTGTCATCCAAGAGACGGTGAGTGCAGACAGCTTCAGGAAAAGAGCTGCAAAGTCATTCCCACTTCAGTGATTTGTGACAGCACAGAGACTAGAGACAGGTCACGTGGAACCCATTCCGCAGCCACTCTCTGTCCTCATGGGCACTATGGCTGGCTCAGTGAAAATGAAGGCATCCCATTGATAAATCGCTTTATGTGTGAGTTTCAGCTGCGGGGGGGGTGAAAATTGCAAATTTCAAGGGCATCCATCTGACAAAGGGATCTTTTAATGTCTGTTTAGAAATGCATGACCGCAAAGTTCCTACCTCAGGGGTTAAACTCAGCTTATTCTCTTAGACCTCCTCTTAAAACTACTCTATACTACCCTGCTGATTCCCTTTCTACAGAGTGTTTGGGACAGTGTGGCAAAAGATTGAATATCACTCCTGTTTTCATAAGCAGAAAAGGCCATATTTCTCTTTTTTTTTATAATCCGAAAGCAATTGCTCCAATACATAGTTACACACCAGCTGTAAAAACACTTTGTAGAGCCAGTGTCAAAAATGTAAGGACAATCCAAAAGAATAGGAGAAGATCTTTTTTTCTAAATTCTTCTGAAGGCTACCGGCCGATTCAAGCATATGCACCTAGAAGTCTGTGCTTCCTGAATGAAGGGCTATATGTGACTGTCTTTCAACTGCTGCAATACTTACACACCAGACAGACAAAAGCACTTCCTGAATTCACTGTACAACATACGCCACTGTGTGATTTTGCCATTGGCATTCTAATATAATTGCTTTGTGTTTTTGTATACCCATTTTTTAGAACAGAACAAGCTGGGCAAGTGAAAGACGATGGTTCTGCAGCTTTTTCCTAGCAGCAGTATATAAATGTAATACTTTGCTGTAGGTCTAGCAAATGATCTACTAATATGTCTCTATACTGTATTTAGATTGTCAACTTGGTGGCCTGGGGAAGACGGGAGGGATTCAACTTTTCAAAAATTAGAAATCCTGTCTGGATTGAAGTCTGGCTAAAGTCTGCGTAGCTGTGTGACTAACTGCATAACAGCATCTCTCTCAAAAGCTGCTGAAGTGTGTCTTTACAACCAGGCAGAAACCAGCACCACATATGAAGTCAAGAGTTAAAAAAAAAACACAGCCAGGACTGTGACTGTTTGTCTGTCTGGTAATATTACTAATAAACATGGCATTAGCAGGGGTAGTCTGAAGACTACTTTTCACCAAATAATACATTTAAGTGTGGACAGTACATTTACAAACCATATGTCCTTTTGCCCGTTGTAACTTTGGAAAAGGAAGAAACAATCGAAAACGTTTTTGAGGAATTAGGAATTGGAAATCAGTACACTCAAAATGGGCTTATATTTCTGCAGTTTGGAAGTACAACTTCGTCAAAGACGGCCATCCTTTTCAGCTAGGCAGTTCCTGGTCGTCAGATGAAAGCCGCGCAGCATCACAAATACGAGCCAACTGTTGGCCAGACGCTGTGAGCTCAAGCATATCCAAGACCATGTCTAAAACCCAAAGCGGTTGAAAAGCTTGAGGTTGTAATTAATATTAGAAATTTGAGAGAAGCATTTCCAGAGATGGTCTTGGGCATCAGCCTTCTCACAATATTGGAAGTGTAGCAGAATGACATGTCATGTCAGCATTTGGTCAATCTAAAATGTAATTTACTTCCTTACGTATTTTCAGCACACATATCTGTTTTCCCAACTCTTCTATTTATAACCCAGGAGCTCCCAAGTGTTCCCGGCAGCCACTTTGTCAAAGTGCAGGTGAAAGCGTGTGCCCTCAGCCCGTTGGATACCGCGGTAAGAAGTCGTCGGTCACCTGGAAAAATATCCAGTTTATTCCATGTGTCCTTGTGTCCTTTGCCCAGTTTAAAACTGTGCTTGTTACACCATTCACCAGAAACTTCAATCTGTTAATGTTATCTTATTTCACATGGTTATTAAGTCTGCTGTTTAAATTTAAAACTGGGCCATAAAATGTTATTAAAGCCTCATTTTTAGAAGCTATAGTATATCTTCAGGGCTGTGTTGTATTCAGGTGAGTAGCCTTACTATTGTGAAAATGCATATTGTACTGATAGGAAGGCTGGAAATGGGAATCTCTTTTTTATTAGTTTATTTTGCTTATACTTTTATCCAAATCATCCATTTATACAGTTGTACATGTTAGTGCAGCATTGAATTAATTTGCTGAAGGGTAACACTACCAGTGCCCACCGAAGACTGAAAGCTACAGCCTTGGAGTTAGGAGTTTAGAGTTCTGGACAGTACTCAGCAGGGCTGCCTCCTGAGTTACTGTACTGTATATACACCCTATATACCTTCCCTCGATTTGTGAGCATAATTTGTTTCTCAAAAACATTGTCAACAGAAGATTCATTTGTATTATTTTAGAAACGAAATCTTCATTCCAGAGCTCCAGAAAATCACCCAATATTACTTATTTTTACTCTGAGAGAGTACTGATTTGTCAAGGTGAGAGGTCATTCTATAAGCATAGATCAGTTCCAAAGGACACATTCTCCTTTTTAGTGAAAATCTATTTGTACATGTACAAACCAGATACACAATTGCCTTATTAGTGCAAAAATCCTTATAAGAGCTGTTCATACATCGAGGGATGGGTGTATATCTGTGTGCTGGGAGGTGGTTGTCCTTTTTTTTTTGTATAAGTCATGGCCCTGTGCTTTTTCACAGTGATCTTGTAAGAAAAGGGAAACGCAGCATGTCTTTGAAATAACAAAGATTTATGTCCTGGGTTCAGGTTTCTCCGTCTGATTTTTTTTTTCCCCGATTGAGCCAAATCCCTTTTGTTCTGAGGCAATGATAGGGTTGCAGTGCTCGTGTGAAACTGGGGATTGTCCAGTGTTGCAGTGCTGAAAGTGCTCTCCCTGAGGCCTTGCCACAATAGACATTGCTTGCTGTAACCCCCAGCGTTTACACCTTTCTCTTCTTAGCTTCTGAAGGACCTGAAATTGCAGCAAGACTTAGTGCCAGTTGGAAGAGAAATTGCCGGAGTAGTCCTTGAAGGTGAGCGAGATTACATTCGTCAGCAGAGTTGTCCTGGTCCCATCGGTTTTGGTTTTGCGGCACTAATGCAAGCACATTTACAGTAGGTTCAAAACCCACTTGTTCAGTAACCTCCAAATGTACCGAGACAGAAAAGTCAAAACTGTTCAATTTACTTTATAATGAAACATACAGCATGTTAGTTCTATTAAGATTTAATATGTGCTTGGGATGATCGAAAAATAAAAAGTTATATTGCACTTATAATTCATATTACTCTCATGATCAAAACTTGCTTCTCTGTAATAACAAAATACATTTTGAGTTTGTTCTTATAGTGCTTTTGGAGGGCACTGCACTTTGCAAATATTTTTTTTTCTAAAATGAAAATTAAATCGGGATTTCATACAGACAACACCCTGGCTTTTTTTTTTAAGAAACAGCTCTTATCATCTTATATTCTTAAAACACCTTACACCTGATAGTAACGGCCTAAAATTAAAAGGCTGAAGACTTACACAGTTGTTTCCCTCACATTTAGTTTTCATTTAACAACAACAACAATCTAAAATAAGACCATTGCCCTCAGGGTATCGGTTCTATTTTAACAAGTATCACAGATGTTACATAAGGTTTATACCTTGAGGAAAAAAGCTAGAGGTTTTAAAATAGACACAACACTGTATCTGAGCAATATTGTCTTTTTAAGTAAGCATTTGGCTCAATCTGCTTTCAGTGAGTTTGTACAAAATAGTAAAAAATAAAACTGTTTGACAGAACAGTATTATTTGATGTTGTCTTTTTATATCGCTTTTGGTTGTCTAATGGGAAGTCCTGTTTGGATGAGCTTGCTGTGATTGTTCAGACCAAACTGCCCTTTGTAACCTGGAATTTCCACTTTCATAATGACCTCACTTCTCCTTTAATGCCCTCATGCCAGCTCAGGGTGAGAGAACTACACATGGAACTTCCTCTGCAAAATATGCACGTTAGTCCCTCGCCCAGCCGATTGTACACCAGCACCAGGGCACTGTCCGTCTCTGTGGGCTTTAAAAGCTCAGCCCAGTTCCGTTTTTTTTGGCATGGAGCCCTCCCACACTCGTTCATTGGCACATCAGAATAGGCTGCGCACCTGTCCAACGCGGAGGGAGAAAAACACAACTCCCCAATGGGGAAAAATGGATCCCTGGAGTCGGAGGCTAGGGGATTGCATGCCCTGAGCCAACAGAGCCACTGTGCCTTTAGTGGGAACGAGGACACTGCAGGCTCTTCCAAAGGGCACAGATGCGGGTGAGAGGGCAGCAGGGTATGTTAATACAGCTGAACAAGGATAAATTGTGAACATTTAACCAGGAGACAGATGGCTTTGGGCCTCACATAACCTGGAGCATTGGCAGCATTTAGAAGGTAGCGCTTCAAGAATGGGAAGGACTGGATGAGATTTCAGCCTTAATTCAAAGGCTTCCTTTTCATGGACTGGTAGATTATTTCACAGTTGAGGAGCCCAGTAAATACTCTTATCTCCTGTGTTCTTTTTAAGATTATAAGATATCCAGCCGTATTGGCCCAGGCAGGTCCTCCCAGGTGTGTCTGTGATAAAACTCTTGCTTGAGAGGGCTTGGGCTAGACCCATTAGAGCTTCACTGGTAAATGGAGAAACTTTAAGATCTATTCTTAATCGTACTTAGAGCCAGTAGAGACTTCCATAATAGGTTTGTGTGGCAGTATTTCTCAGTTTAAATCCTGGCAGCAGATTGTGAATTAGTAAAAAAATAATGGACAGAGCACAGTCTGGGCTGCCTGATTGTACAGTGCTGTAACACTCTAGCCCAGGTGTGATGTTTCTAGCTCCCTTTTCGAGTGGATCCAGACCCATCCTCTTCATGCACTCTTGTGCAGCCTTCTCTTACAGGCAGGTAAAATTCTATATTAAATATATACCTTGTGGTAGAAGATATAATATAATCCTTCTATATGCAGACCACAGTGCAACTATAGAAAATAAAAGCAACTAACAAACGGCAACCCACTGAAGCTCAGCAGGTGAGAGTCTGGTCAGTAACTGGATCAGTACCTTGTCAGACCTCCTGGGATAGCTAAGATTACTGCTGGAGTAGGGGGTGCCTCACCCTATGGTCTGTGTGGGTCCTGATGCCCCTGTATAGTGATGGGGACACTATATTGTAAAAAAGGAGCTGTCCTTCAAATGAGATGTAAAAGAGAAGTCTTGACTCTGTGGTCATTAAAAATCCGAGGGAGATTCTTGAAAAGAGTAGACATGTTACCCCACCAGCTTGGCCTAATTTCCCTCTGGCCTTTACCAGTCATGGCCTTCTAATAAGCCCCTATGAATTGGCTTCATCACTCTGTTTTCCTCCCCACTGATAGCTGATGTGTGGCGGGTATACTGGGTCACTATGGCTGCCGTCGCATTATCCAGGTGGGGCTGCACATTGGTGGTGGTGGAGGGGAGTCCCCATTACCTGTAAAGCGCTTTAAGTGGAGTGTTAAGAAGAATGCTAAACAATGTAAGGAATTATTGTTATTAAAGGGTAACCTCATGCACAAAACACATGAATTAAGTTATTAGTGAGACACCTTATGAGCAAGCAGTTGAAATTGTGTATCAGTATTTAGACTGTTTAAATCTAGATATTAAAAGGCTAATTGGATTGAGAAGAATTTCAGTAAGTGTTCTCTACACTGGGAAAAAAGCAGAACTAGATTTTGCAGATAAGATTGACTTTTCATCAGTGCTTAATTAAATGCACTCTTTGTTTTATCAGTGTCAGGCCTCAGGTTTTCCTGGAGGAAATTTCTCAGCTTTAGTGCCGAACAGGCTGTGGAAATCTGAGCTGACAGCATCCTGTAACGTCATTTCTGTCTGTGTCCATGTGGAAAATGCAGATAAAATATAAAAGGGGCCTTGTGTATTAGGGAAATATTTTTGCCCAGTGCCTTCATTCTTTTCATGAATTTATTAAAATCATTTTAAAATTAGGTGGTGTTGTTTGGACCTACAGATCCTTCATGAATTAGGAAATCACTGTCCTCCTGCTGTGGGAAGGGGAATCCTTGAGAATTCCTGGGAATTCCTATCTCTCTGCCACAGTGATTGGTCTGGAAAGATGTGGTCAGTCAAGCTATGATACTGGTACTAGGGTAAATATAACATCACAGAGATTTAGTATCTCAGTCTGTGATCAAGAAAGATAAAAGATTACAGGATTTTCAAAGGTGGATGCAGAGAGATGGTATGTTTTTTATGTTTTATTGTGAATGCTGCCCTACTTTGAGAAGAAATTTGAATCTGACATTTTCTTCCGTGAATCATGGGAAACGTTAGGTTTCAAGTCAAGCATCATTACCTACCAGGAGCAGTGGGATTGTGTTAACTTGGCTGCATTTTCATGTCTTCAGTTATATCAACTTCCATTGAAATGTCTGTGTGTTCAGGAGGTGCCAGCTCCAACAATGTGAATTGAGCCTTTTTTTGACGGACAGCAGGAAAACTTCACAGTGTTTTGTGTTTTGAGATCAGGCGTGTTGGAATGTAAACAGCCGAAAAATAAAAGTGCTATTTTCTTTAATGGGAGGTGAGGTGATACAAAATTGTGGCTTGACTACATAGAAGTACAGTTTGCAATAAACTACACCAAGTCAGAAAAGACTGGAAAAGTCTGCCTGCTCTGGCCCCTAACCAACCTCTCGTCTTTGTCTTGGGAGGTTCCTGCTAAGCAGATCGGATGTGGTCAGTTTGGTCAACAGTGTGGCTATGTATTGTAACATAGCCTGATCACATTTTGAATGGTCAGTTAGCAGTGTCCTGGCCCACTGGACTGCATGTTTTCCTTCTCATGTTGCAGAGCTGCTTGTTTTCCTTCTCAAGACCAGTGTCACGAGGGCAACTTTCAAGGATATGTTGGCAAAATACAGAAAAAATGATTGCGTACATTATAACAATATTGTTGTTTGAAATGACAGTAACTGTATCTGAGAGCTGTAACTGCTCCTGGTATCCAGATGTGTATATTGTGTCATACGCAGCCTGGCTGTTTCAAAGTGTCCCTGACCAAAACTCAGATTAAGGCCTGTTCCTGCCTGCCTTTGCAAGCCAAATGGCCTGTTCTGTGGTTCCTTTCATCTGGACAGCATTGCTCCCCAGTTCTGCTGGGCAACACAGAGACTTCAATTCCTGCAGTGTGAACAGAGTCCTCCCAGCTTAGGGAGAGCATCAGCAAACCTTGATGGAAAAGAGAGGTAAAAATAACTGTTTAAAAGTGTGTATCAATTCATGGATTCTGTTTTTCCTGCTCTTTTCAGTTGGGCCCAAGGTGACATTCTTTCGGCCTGATGATGAAGTTGTGGGTAAGTCCAGCTGCAGGAACGCACAGTCCATCCTAAAGTTGTCATTGCGCTGGCAGAGACTGGCCTCCTGTGATGATTGTGTGTTCTTTGAAGATGAAAGGTGAATTGTTCTTCTTTTGAAATGCTTTGTAATCTAGTACTTATAGCTTGGTCAGATGTAGTTTTCCTTTTGTACCTCCTGCTCTCTGACCTCGGATGTGTGGGATAACAAATGATTAACATGCTTCCTCTTCTTTGTAATTTTTAGCTTCAGTTGTTTTTTCTCATGTGGCATTCAGTCGCCGTGGTGAAATGACAGTTCTGTGTAGATGTGTTGGTGACACCAAAGCTCTATTAACTCTTATGACTAACACGGCTCTTTCTTAAAACTTCTCTGACATTTTTTAAACCCTTAATGCCATAGAATTGTAATGGAGGGCAATACAAAGGTACAGATCAAAATAAAAACAAATTGGTAGTGATGATTTGATTTGTTGGCAGCAATGTGGCACTCTCGACTTGTAACTGGGAGGTTGTGGGTACAAGTCTCATGGGCCACAGCTGTATAAGTGCATCCATGTGGGATTTGATATGGGTGCAGATGTCAGTCACTTTAGTTAAAAGGATGAGCCAAATTATTATTTATAAATTAATAATACATTATTTACGTGGTATATAAAGTTACTATATAGTGAAATAACAAGTACCTGTTGTCCAGGTATCCTGTTATCTGTAAATTGTGAACTGAGGCAGTCTAACAATTAGTGAGTGGTGTTATTAATATCTCAACCCCAAAATAATAAGAAAATCACATTTGTTCATTTCAAGCCCAGGAAGAGAGGAGTCACTATCTTCCTGTGACTGACAGTAGGTTTGGTTAAATTTGTCCAGCAGGAGAAACTTTTATACTTCAGGGTTTCTCATTAAAGACAGCTGTAACAGATTGAGTTCCCCTCCTCCGTATCACCCAGGGTTTTCTTTGCTGAGCGTAAGTAAGAGCTTTCATGTCATTTCATTCACTGTCTACAGGAATCCTACCACTGGACGCAGGAGTTTCTGGGCTGTGTGATGTTGTATTAATCCATGAGCATCATGTGGGTATGTTTCAAGCTTTGCTGTTATGTTGCATTAGAGCATAACAATTATAGGAGTCTTATAGAACTAGCATAGTCTAGGAAGTCCCACAAAAATCCTCATGATTCTAAGATGCATTTTCAGAGTTTTGTATTTTTACATTCTGGGTATCTTTTGAACAATACAGGGAAGAAAAAAAGACTGTTGTTGACTTTGCGCTGTGCTCCCATGCAGTCATTTCTACACTAAGACAGTTTGTTTTACGATTGCTTGCATTTCTTACCTTATAGAACGGTTGATGAAGTTCTTGTGTTCAGAAGCGTCTCTTCATGACATAATAACATAAATGAAAAAGTTGAGTCTCCAGCTGTACCTCTGAACTGAAACCTCTTTCGTACCTGAAAACTACCCTTAAATAAAAAAAGATGTCATACTCTTGTGATTTATCAGCAGTTGTCCTTCGGCTGGGTAGGATTTGACTGTCAGTCTGTAGCCACAGAGGTGCTCATATTATCTCTAATTGACCTGGTGTTCTCAAGGCTCGTAATTAGAAAGCTGTGTTGTTCATGGACACAAGCTTCTGTTTCCAAACCACACAGAGTAAACTGAAAGAATAATTTGACATCAGAGGCCACAGATGAGAGGACATACAGCTCATCCAGCCTGATTGGTAGTTGGGAGCTAATTTATCCTAATTGATCTTATCCAGTCCTTTCTTGAAAAAAAAACAGTGAACTGAGTGGCTTTTTCGGTTTCTGAGCTGCATTTTTCAGAAAGAAAATAATTGCACATTCAGAGCTTTTTAATTCTGTCATACCGTTATGAGTGAGCACAATGAGGAAGTCATCACAAATGTATTGCAGTGGCAGCTCTTGTTTATAACATGAAAGGGGAGGTAGCCTTCTGTCTTGAATTAAATGTGTGTATTTTGGCCTTTGGAATTTGATCATTTGAATGTTTTCTGAGACTGGAAACGTTGGAATTGTTGGAGATCTTCATGTCACAGTTGCCGTGATGGCACCCTTGTTGTGGAGACTAAAAAAAGAGGAATCCCCTGACAGAACTCCAGTGTATTAAATTGCTCAGACTATAGAAGTAGAGACAATACCACACTCTGCTCTGGCCAAAGCCCAGCTTTCTGGGGTCATTCTGCAAGCTAATGCTTTTGAATCTGGTAAGATTGTTTTAGTAAATATTCTGATTGCATAATACCATCCTGTATAAATATTAAAGACAAACTTTGTTGTTGGGCCTTGGATATACAGCTTGCCATTAAGAATCCTAGAAAAACAAAAGTGGATACAAACAAGAGATGGTCAGTCATTTGGTTTCTAGCAGCTAATTGATCCAAGGATCTCTTGTCTTGACATAAGCTTCAATATCGTGGCTGGGCATGTAGTTCCACACTCCTAAAACTTTAATGAAAATCGGTTTTCAGTTGGCCCACCTATTAAAAGCCCCCTCGAGCGAAGCCTCATGGCTTGCCAGGCCAGTGCTGTGCTTCCCGCTGGGAGCGGTGGCCCAGCTGAGTGCCGTCTGTCCTCCACAGTGCACAAGACTGAGAAGGTGAGCTGGGTGGAGGCGGCCGGGACGATCCGAGATGGGCTGCGTTCGTACACGGCGCTGCACGCCCTGTCGCACGTCACCGCGGGAAACACCGTCTTGGTTCTGGATGGGGCGAGTGTGAGTAGCCGCTACCCAGCCCGCACAGCCATTGCTTCAGTGCTGGGCGTCCATGTTGAGAGCACGGAGCGTTAGTCTCTTTGGGCCCGTGTGCAGCGAGGGGTCAGCGTCTAGAATAGAGCCATGTGAAAGGACAGGCGTTTCTTTTTGAAAACCAGGACAAAAGAAGGATTCTGAGTTTAAAGAAAATCTTATTTTGTTCACTAAAAATGAAATATTGTAGGTGGCTGGATGTACAGAAGCCGTTTCCTGGCTAACAGGGGCACACCCCACATTGCGGACAGGGTGGTCGCTGCTGTGTCAGCTGGTGCTGCTCTTCCTTCAGCATCAGTAAGAGCTGCCAGAGGCCCAGGTGCCCGAGCCTCCTGGGACACTTGAGTGACACTCATCAGAGGTCACTTTGCAGTAGTTTGAGCACCATTACAGCGAAGGCCTCTGCTTCTTGCAGAATCATCTAAAAAAACTTGTTTTTTCCATCCTATTTTAAATTCCCTTTTCAGAAGAATCCCAAAGGCTTGATCGTTCCTCATGACTCCAGAAAAGGATGAGAGTTACTTGAATGTTTTCGTCCAAATCTAAAATTCATGTTCATGTTAGGGGCAGCCAGTCAACTCATTTTGCCCCAATGTCATAGGATCAGACATGTCATGGATTGAGAAATGCTTCACCAGAGGTTTACATGGTTGTTATATTGGGTAAATTACACAAGCGCTGTGAAATGTTTACAGCTCTACACTGAAACAGAAAAAAGGATTAATGTACTTCTACAGATATTCTACAGATATTATAAATTGAGACGGAATTCAAAGTATTGTGCATCACAGTTGCCTTCTATAAAGGTACAGATGAAAACTGAAGCATTCTTAAACTGGGCAATGTCACTGTTATGGTAAAATACACTGTAAGTCTGCATAACTTGTAAAAACAGGAGAGGATTCTCCAATATTGTTCACAGTTAACATCTAGTTTCCTTCCAGGAAGAATTGTACGAACACTGTAATTAGAAGACTTTCCAGCTGTTGGCTCTTTTCCTGAGTTCAGAAAGAGATCCTCCGAATAAATTTTAAAGTCCAAATGCAGCCAGTGAAAGCTGAATTTAAGCATTATTTTTACTTTTTAGATTGCATTTTTTTAGATGAATATATATATATATTTCCTTTCAGATAGAAATGTTTTTTTTACTAAACTCAGTTATTAAAATTGACTGGTGGTAAATAAACTTGGATAGTGCCCATGAAGAGTCCTTGATTCCAGTTTTGTGTGTGTAGCAATATCTACTCTTCCAGACGACTGAATTCTGCCTCCTTCCTCACGTGAAAGTAACTACCCTTCCCCTTCAGTTCAGCAGGGAGGTATTGTTTGTTTCGGGCTCAGATCTCCAGTGAGCCATCCCTCCTTCATATAGACCAGAGCAGCTGGTACGATAAAGTGAATAAAGACTTTGTAATGCAGTTATCGCATCAAGCTTCCTGCCACTGCTTATTTTATTGTCTTGCTTTCAGGTTGTTCATGTCTTTTTTTGGCCCAACTGTCTTGACGTCTGTGTTTTTCCTCTTTAGGGCTCCTAATAATCACCTCTGTCAGTACTGGAGGTTATTTAAAAAGCCGACACAGCTCTAAATAACTGCCTCTGCCTTCTGCCTAATACTGTTTCTCCTGTGCACTGGTACAGTGTGTATAACAGAGTCATTTACAGTCCTGTGTATGCCACAAAGGGAGTATTCAACTGGATATAGCAACTTCAAGCTTTTTCGAACCTGGGGCAGTAATGGCTCTTTTTCCTTTTGTGTTTCTAGCCGTTTGGTATAATTACAATCCAGTTAGCCCATTACCATGGCGCAAAGGTATTGTCTACTGCCTTATCTATTGAAGACAACCAGCGTCTGGAGCAGCTGAGACCCACTGTTGGTAAGAGAATATGTTCGCTTTTAAATTGTTCCAGGGGAGACGGGTTTCTGGGAGTGTTTCAGGCCCTCTGCTGCTGCCAAAGTCAAAGTTGGCTGTTTGAGTGCCTACACTGCCTTGTCTCAATGCACCATCTTCACTTAAGCAACAGCTAAAGAAAACTTGGTCCTGGTTGGGACTTGGATGTTAAGCCTCTTAAGATGAAAATCAGTTTATCACTGGAAGTTGGCAAACTCTATCCTGGACCAGAAATCCACACCATTGCAAATCTATAGTGTTGAGGCACCATTGTGTAAGAGGTTCTGCTTTTCAGATGAGCTGCTCAGCTGATGTTCCTATTGCATGCAGTTACTCTCTACAGAGATTTTTCTACCCCAAAGCCCTTGCTTAATTTCTTCTCGGGCATTCTCTCTCAGCCTGCCAGGCACAGGAGACAGTTCAGACAAAGTAATTCCTCCTTTCTTTTCCTCATCGGGTGTACAGTTGATGCGCACAATGGTGCACTATGGCTGCCATGAGGGTACTTTCTCTTCTGTGGTGGATGAAGTCCCCACCTGCCTCTAGGACTTGAAATGAGAAATACCAGGTTTATTATTGATTAGCTTTATTACTCTGCTTGTCAGCAACCATGTCTCTGCTCCTGTGAGATCTTGTATCTTGGCACCAGTGCCTTCCTGTGAGATTAATCTAGAAAACCTGATGCCGAGCGATCCATGCCCCCCTAGCATGGTCTTGCTGCTGCAGCTCTCTGTCTTATATTCCACACACTGGAGGACAACATGGTTATTTTCTGATCAACATTTTTATGTAACCTTCAAACATAAGTAAAAAACAAATAAGAACAAACATCAAGACTACAGTCATCATGACAGTACCAATACAGTCATACAATTGTATCCAGAGCTTATGTAATGCTAGTTTAATTCTATAGTCATGTGTATGCATTGACAAGAATCAAGAACTTTTCCAAAAGCTGTGAAAATATCTTCCAAGATTAGATTGTTTTTCAATTTGCCTTATTAGTTTTAGCAGTTGCACATGTCTATGTTTCACAATATATTGAAATGTGAGTACCGGGTATTTATCTGGTGCAGGGTCTGGGCTTATTCAGACTTGTACAGTTGTCTTTTTTATTGCTATGAAGCCAACAAAAAGCAGTCTTTTCTCAGTTAAAGTGAAATTAACCAAATAATCATCATTCACCAAGCACCAACAAGCCTTTTGATTGAAGGGTATGCTGATTAGCTTTCCCAGTGTAGTACAGACATAAGTCCAGAAGGAAAGCATTTTTGACTGTGGGCATAGCAATGTGCAGGCCGTGTTAGAAAGCTGACAGTAACATTAACAAAAACTAAAGTTGGTAGGATTCTGGAAAAGCTGCCCAACTATGTTGTTCCTGGCTTCTTTCAGGAAACAGCAGAATGAGATTCCCGCATCAATGAATTTCTACAGTAACTACCCAACACGCTGTATGAACTGAATGGCCTCCTCTCATTTCTAACCTTTCTTATCTAACAGATAGACAAGTAATACATTGGATATATAAGTCTTTATCTTCTGTATCTGTATCTTGGATAACGTATAGCACTCAAATGAAAAGAACATTGATTCTTCTACAATATCAGCATTTTAAAAAGTATCGGAAAAATCGTGCATCCTTTTTTCAATGGACTTCATTTGTCACCAAAGTGAAATTTAAGTTTCATGAGTCACAGCATCCTGACTGCGTGCAAGGAGCCATCAGGGGCTCAGCTGAAGACATGTTAGTTACTTTCAGGATGCCACAAAGGACGTGTCAGAATGTGGGTGCTGGGTACTGGCTATACAGGGAGTGTGTACACACAGTGACAGGGAGGGGTGAGAGCACTCTTCAACTGGAACTGCCACTGCAGTGTTGTGTATGATGGAAGTAAACGTTTAACATAGATTCGCTGGTGGAAGACAAAATATTGTTCCTAACTGCATTCCTGTCAGAAGTATAATACTGCCCACCTTGCCTTTCATAATCTTTCTTTGCCACATTCTTTTCAAAACAAAAACATCACTTTTATGATTAATTACAAAGATATGCCATTAAATTACAATCCTTTCACTTCATTACAGACATTCTTGGAGGCTTGTGTTATCAGCAAATGGTTGTATGATTCAACATACTGCAATTTTATCCAAAGCTAATGTGTTACTAGTTCAATACAGATGAAAGAAGCTAGTAAATTCAGGCAAGATAAATTTAAAATGAAGGTCTTCACTACTGAAAGTTTAAAAGCCTGTCTAGAAGCGGACTGATTTTAGGAAAGAGGAGGAAGTGGCACAGAGAAGAGACTGGAGCCCTGGTGCTTACTGTAGAAACTGTTGGGCCCAGTGCAGGGAGTGAGGATGACGCAGCGTCTCGAGTGTTAATGGTGTCTATGGTGTCGCATGGGTGAGGCCAGCAAACAAGTGACTCTCCCTCAGAAGCCTGTGGGCCCGAAGCCAGCGCCTCACCATGGGCCTGAACATTCACAGACCAGATAGGTGTAGGAGGCTGAGAAACAGTCCAGCAAGAGAGGTGTTTTTCAGCCATTGTTGAAAGCATGTGGAATTTCACCATACTTCAAGAAAGTGGTTGACTTTCCTCCTGGTGCTCGATGAGTTTGCTATGACTGAGCTAATTCACAGGGAGGGAAAACTGCCATTGGGAGTAGAAAATACAAGGTCCTGGAGTCTTAATTGGCTTAATGAAGAACAGTTTCAAACCAGAGGAGGCCATTTGGGTGGTCTAACCCATTTGGAATTTTGTAGCAAATTGATGTTGGAATCTCAGAAAACAACTCTTCACTTGTTTGAATCGCAGTATTATGACCTAAGCTCTCGATCAGCATGAATGTGATTCGGGTGGATGGTTTTGGCAGCTGAAGAACAGGGTGTGTTAAGGACAGTGCAGAGAGGCAGGAGCGATAGGGAACCAGCAGCTTGGCAGCACAGAACAGGATTATGGATTACATTGGAGCAGACGTATTAAGTAAAATGTCTCATCTCAGATTGCAAAACCTAATTAGAGCAGTAAGTGAAAACTGCCAGTACTTGCTCGGTAATTACTGAAAGTAAAAATAACCGATTTAGACAAAGGCCAGCCTCTTGTTGTACGAGGCGTGTTTAGAATGAAGCGGGGGAGGTTTGTTTAATGCACAAATCATAATTTGGAAAGCCTGGCAAGGGAAGTACAGATGCTTAAATTGGAACAGCAAATTTAGAAGACATTTCTGTAGAGGCTCCCATAAATTGGTCTGTTGTTTCAAACTTATTAGTGAACATCAAAGGGGATAAAACACCTCCTCCAAATGACAGCCTTCTTGATGTTCCTATTATACTAACTTGAGACACAGATATCCTTTATGGTGAGTGTGATAGTGCTGTTTTCAGTTAATTCATATGAAATGAAATCTCTTCACAAAGGCACTTCTTCAGTTCTTAATCCAGAATGTACTTGGGTATAATTTATGTGTCTGGAAATGTCTCTAAAACTCTTGGGAAAGCATTTCTACCACTCCATTAGAATGGCGTCACAATGTGAGTGGAAGTCCTTTCTGTTCTCACTCTGCTTGTTGCTTCTACTGTTTCTCTTTCACCGCGACGACTTGCAAAGGTGTCCAGGAGTCGATAGTAGGTAAGTCTGCTGTATGGTGCCCGTGTTGAGTCTGCACATCGCCGCACTTGGAAAGTCAGGGCCCAGTTCAGATTTGTAACGTGTAACTGTATCAACTGATTGGGCAAAACCCGACGTATGTTTTGTGAGTGTGCAGCACCAAAGCGTTTGTAGCATGTTGCCGTAACCATCGAGGGTGCATTTTACAGCATTGCTCCAGAGAACTCCTTTGGGATGTAGTATCTGTAGTTTTGTCCTGACACCTTTTGTCATCCGGAAGTGGCAGCCGAAATTACAGTTCAATTTCAATGTTATTATTAACAAAATACAATTGTATTTTGTAAAATAATGTACAATTGTACAAAATACAACCACTGCAAATTACATTTCAATTAAAATTTTATTATATAAAGAATGCAATTGTAAATTGTTTAATCTTCTGTATCCACAAAAACATTGTCTCTTTTAAGCTCCAGTACTTGGCTTTTAACTGTTGGAAATATGCTATTTTACAAGTGCATGGCATGCCTTTCAAGACAGATGTGCTCAGTTTCATTTTATTTGTCCCGTGGAAGTTTTACACAGCATAGGTGAAAACAATTTTTAACGTCTTGCATCAGCTTATTCAGAGTCAGGTAAAAAACAACAGAAAATGTGTTTGCTTCCACACTTCACACTCCCTGCCTCAGGCTTAACGTTTGAATCAGTAATTGCCACCCCTGACTGCTTAAGGCGTCTTAGACATTCAAAGACAGATTAACTAGATGATTTGTGCAGATGTGAAAACCCTTCTAAGGAGCATTAAAGAGATATTACCTTCCCATTTTCTGAAAGCATATCTAAAATTGAAAAGGTTAAGTATGGAACTCAAATGGTCTATTATTTTTCAGTCTAAAGCAAATTGTACTCCATTTACTGAGTACTCTGCTAGTGTCTCTGTCTTTTTGGTTTGTGGAAAGACCGTTCAGTGCTGAAGATGTTGTAAAAGGTGCATGAGTGTATCTAGAAGTGCTAGGGGCCAGACTGCAGTGCATGTCAGCTGAGCACCTGTGAGTGCAGACAACGTGTGACCTCTGACCTCTGCTTGCTTCCCTTCAGCCAGGGTGATCAGTGTGTGGGACCAGAAGTCAGCTCTGGTGGACATCTGCATGGAGGAAACAGGAGGCCTGGGTGTGGACATTGTCGTTGACACTGGAGGTGAGTACTTGGCCCCTTTCCTTCTGGTTCGTCAATGGCAACAGGTTGACATGGAAGATCTTTTTTCCTTGTTGAACTTCCAGATCTGCTGTGATTGGAAATGCGTTTACTGGCAATATGTGAAAAAATTAATTCCCCATGATCTGAATGCATAATTAATAAAATGTGGGCTTGAAAAATGTTCTGTTACCCAATATCCTTCCCTGTCAACAAAACAAAAAGAGAGCCTTGAGCTCTGAAAATGAGATGAGCCAGATTGTACCTTTCAAGTTAATTTAGTGACACTTTGACTTTGTTGTACTCACCATGATCCACAGAAAGAAGTTGCCTAGAAGAAGTTGTTCGAAAGATGGTACCTAAAACAAGTTGTTAACAATTACATTCATATTACTTAATATTCTGCAGATCTTTATTATTTCTGTATAATAAAAGGTAAGCTGTGGTACACCTTTACAGGCTGGGCATTAAATATTATAAAAACATGTTAAAGACCTGTTGTCAAAGCTTGAAAACCATTTATTTATGAAGGTAAAAAAAACCTTTTGTTCCTTTTGTCGTATTCCTGTTAACAGTGAGGCTGTATGGCGCAGATGAGGAATCTGCATCAAAGAAGCTGCTTCCTCACAAGCATGACATCATCACCCTGCTGGCTGTTGGAGGTCACTGGGTCACATCAGGAGAAGGCCTGCAGGTATGAAAGGCACATGCAGCTAGAGTATAGTTTCGGGCTGACTCTTCAACTCCTGTCCTTCATGCTTTTAAGGTCTTTTTAAATGATGAACAGCTCTTGAAAGAACTGTCCCGGTTCTCTACAGAAACATATGGTCAACATTGGTGAATTTCATAAGGAGGGGCTTGGGAAATGTGATATAATAGTCCAATTGAGCAAATTACTTGTTCATTTAGGTGTTTAAGAATAAAATGTCAGCGACCCTTGGGGTCCACAACTGGACTTACCATCCAAGTATACAAGGTCAGAAGTCTTCCAGTGTTCTTAGTAATCCAAAGTGTCTAGAGTCACAAACTGCTTTCACACGGGTTCAACTCATGACTTACAGCAGCCCCCCACCCCCACATGATCCGTGACAGCCCAATGACAACCTCATCCCCGTATCATCTTCACCTCAGTGACGCCTTCATGTCGTCAACTCAGTGACGTCCTTCCCTTTGCCTGTTGTAACGCCATGACTGGAACGTGTTTTTCAGCAGTTACAGGTGCAGGCACAGATGAGTTTCACCACAACCCCAGTCACATCTACATGACTTTCAACCCCAGTCACATATACTGTATGGTGCATTTTGAATACTACACTCAGGTGACTGACATTATTCTTCAGCTGTGGTTAATTTACTGTTTAGACTGTTTGCAATCGTTTTTACTCATAATTTGTTAATACACCGTTTGAAAAAACATATTGGAATTAGAATCGTTTGTTTCATTTTTAGTTTCTTGTTAGTACGGTTAGTGATTAGTTCCAGTACATGGCTCTGGCTGAAGCATAGTTAGATCTGTTTCGTTTGTGCAAACATGAAGACAATGTTAACTACGCTTAAAGAAGTGTAAGAATGTTTTTTTTTTCAATTGCAATAAGTTCCACTTGTGTTGGGCACATTTCCTAGGGCAGATTGTAGAAAATGTTATTGTGCAGGACAACAGTGGTTAGCATTGCTGCCTCTCAGCACAGGCCCTGGGGGCGCTATCTACATGGAGTTTTTTCTGTTTTTGTTTGCACAGCTTTCCTCCACAAACCAAAGATATTTTTTTTTCCTAAGATCACCTTATTAGCCACTTACAATTTCTTGCATTAGGGATTCATCTTTTCGCATACCCCAGCTTGCTCTCCATGAGACACAGACACACATACAGGGAGAGAGAAGCTTGGGGTCAGAGCACAGGGTCAGCCATTGTACAGCCCCCCTGGACCAGTTTTGGTTAAGGGCCTTGCTCAGGGGCCCAACGGAGTAGGATTCCTCTGCCGGCCGCGGGATACGAACCGGCAACCTTCCAGCCACAGGCGCAGATCCTTAGCCACAGAGCCACTGGTAGGTTAAATGGCTTCTGGTAAAATTTCCCATGCTGTGTGTTTGTGCCTGTCATTGTATGCCCTGTGACGGACTGGCATCCCATCTGGGGTGTCTCCTGCCTTGCACCTTTTGCATGATGGGACAGGCTCCAGCTCCCCTGCCACTCTAGGCAGGACGCCAGTCCATCACAGGGCATACACAGACAGGCACAAGCTGGATAATCTTTAGAAAATGGATGGATGGATGTTTCCTCATAAAGATAGGTTTAACAGTGTACTGTATATGCTGTCCATCTTTTCAAAACACCAGAAAGCCTATGCCTTGGTTTATTAGGCCACATCTTTACACTTCTAGACTCTTTTCCTTTAAGAGCCTTTCCATTCATTTACAAATTTCTCCCCCAGACCCCCCTTTGTGTGGACACTCTCGGTCACACCCTCTGTCCTCTGCTTTTCTCTCTCTTCCTCCTGCCTGAAGAAGCTTGGCAACCGAAACGTGGTGTTTTTTTTTTCTTTCTACTTTTTGGCGCGGAATGAACCTCTTGCCTTTCCCCTTCCCGAGCCGACGCCCACCAGGCCAGCTGCAGGAAGACCAAGGACTCCTCTGGTAATGCGCAGGGGAAAGGGCTTGATCCTGGCACAGCGCCCCCTGCTGCTCTTCAGGGAGTCACTGAGCGAGGAAATCAGGAGGTTGCGATTATACCTCGTGTTGGCGAATGCGTGATTCAGTGGTCTGCATTCCTCTCTTCCCAGCTGGATCCCCCAGACAGCCGAGGCCTGTATCTGAAAGGAGCCACAGTGTCCTTCCTGAACGATGAAGTCTGGAATGCCTCGGCCTCTTGCCAGGGGAAGTACCTTCGTATCCTTTACAGCAGCTGAAGGGCCTTTATCTCTCCCCGGAGAAAGCTGGTGTGTGCACACAGAGCTGGTGAATTACTGCTCCTCACTTCCACTGGCTCAGCTGTCATTAAGCACAGGATTGTATTGCAAGTGTGTTTCAGTGGCATGCAGCACCATGTTGCATATCTAGAGTTATCAATAGCCTGCCCAAACACATTACTGAGGCGGTATCTTCGTAATGAGATCCTAAAACCAATTGGTCGATCAACCTGAGCAAAGTGAAGGCCCAGTGAAGAAACTTAAACTTGTCACACACAACACAAGATTCACAGTTAATATACTTCTGTGTCACTTTATGCATCCTCATCTGCCATGTATGTACAGCTACTTCAAGCAGTTAACAAACCGCATCATCCAATGAACTTCAAGGGGAAGATCTTTCCAAGTCTGCTGTGTGTGTTTGAATTGGGCTTATCACCCCCAGCCTCCTGATGCTCTGTGGCTTCATCTGACAGGAGTAGCAGGCCAGTGCTAACCTGAAGTTAATCAGTGCTCCGAGAGTAATGTAACATGGAGAAAGTGTCTGAAGCACCTGGGTCAGTGAACACAGTGGTAGGTTCATGGCAGTAAAGCTAGTGGCCTTTTCAATCCATTCTTGTCCTGGCGGTTCTGAGCTCTGAAGACTAGACTATTGCAGGGTCACTCCCACCAGCACTGGTGCGTTTGTACAGAAGGCTGTACTGGGGCTGTCAGGGTCAAGTCTTGTTCGAGGATACTACAGCAGTTGTGGATTCAAACACACATCCCACCAATAAGGAGTCCAGGGTTTTTGTGGAAAGAGGGTTCAGATCTGATGGACCTGAATGCAAAGTGCAGTGAACATTTTTCCCATTTATTTTGAAAATTGACGTTTGTCAGGTAGCGGCACCGTACATGTGGTGCCTGGGTTTATACAACTGTAGTTTCATTTTTTACTTCTTTTTGACCTTCATCACTTTTTCAGACATACTAAAAGATGTGGTTGAGAAGCTGTCCAACAAGACCTTCAGGTACAGTACAGATGAAACTTTCTGCCCCCCAGTGTTTCTCAGCACAGAACCCCCAGTCAACGTCATGTGGGTTTAGCACTTAGATCTTCCAAGCATTCAACAGTGCAAATGTAGTGCAGGACAACAAAGCTTCAATAAAAGAAGGATTATATTGAAGCTGGTTTAGTTCTTAGATGCAGTTTGAAAGAGTTGCTCATTGTGCAAAATTGTGCATGAATGCTTCAAAAGATGTTTTGCTTTGAATGACACATTCAGAGAGCTTTAACACTGAATATCCGTGTTAAATGATGTTATAATATCATTAACATTAACCTACATTCTTTAGGATGCTATTAAGTGTTTTGTCTTTCGTGGTTTAACACTCCCTGTCTTGGACATTGCAATTAACAGTTGACAGTTTTTCAGTAGTCCTATCTTCTTAAAGGTCTAATAGCACAAACTATTCAAATATTTGTACAGTGCGTAACCAAGATTTCAGTCAATTAAAGGCATTACAGTATATAATGTCACAACTAACTAAAATATATTTTACTTGACAGTATTGAAATGATTAAACAAATCAATTATAAATTAAGTACTGTAGTAGATTGATGTCAACCCACTAGAACAGGTATAGTGTTCTCTGGAGACTTGCATTGTAAACAAGATAAATATAATATGTGTTTTTCTAAAATGACAAGAAACTAAATACGTTTAAGTTGAGTATTACTATATGAGTGAGCAGGGCAGCTCTGCCCACATGTGCTCACTGACAGGTCAGAGGTCACCTGCGCTCCCTGAGAGATGAGTTCATACAGTGCTGTAACCTGTGTCTGAAGAGTTCACATCCCTGGGCAGCAGGAAACTCTGCTGCTGAGAAACACTTTGTGTTTCAGTTCAGGCATGAATTAAAGTGCCCGAAAGATTGATAGCTCCTTAATTGGCTGAAGGCAAAACCCTACAGAGTTTCTACTGCTTTAATATATTTTAATATGTTCCTTTTTTCTTCTCCGTGGATCCCTGGGGCCTTTTCACAATGTTTGCTCTCATTCCAGGCCGCTGTTGGAAGACCCGGTGCCTTTGTACGAAGCCACAGTTTCTATGGAAATGGTTCAGAGGAGGAGAGTGAGAAAAAGGCAGGTTATTCAGCTCTGACATCCCCGAGACCAGCAAATGTCAGCAGGACCCTGGAACCGCGCCGGAACATTTTAAGGGAAAAAAAAAAGGTTCCCGTTGCTGCTCTTTGTCTTAAAGTCATGTCAGTAAAACGTGTAACATTGTGAGACTGTGGCCTTCCAAAAGGGAAAGTTGCTATCCTCTTGTCGGTCTGTAAATACTGTTTGTAGTTCAGGGGAGTGTCTTGTCCAGTTCGGCGCCAGCATGGTTCTGTCTAACACTGCACTTGTATCGCACACTTGCCCCACTGCTGTGTACATGAGGATCCTTTGGAGCCCATCTTCTTCTTTTCCCCATTAAAGTTCTGCTTAATGTATGTCTTTGACTACATACTATACTGGTTGAGACACCCGGGGAAGCCTTTCTTGATTTTCCTGTAATTATGGACTGTTTTTGTTTTTTGTTTTTAAACTGCACAATCCAAAACTGGCGAAATCTATCCACTATCGCCTCACTGCTTTGGTCCACCTGTATTCTCCGTTGGCACGGTGACGAGTCTTGAAAAGGGGGACAGTTTTCAATGCGCTTACACTTCCTAAGTATCTCAAGGTCGGGGTCAGTTTTAATTTGCAAGCTGTGTCCTTGACAGTGTTGTTTTTTTTTTTATCTGAGCTCCAGTCTTAAGAATTTCTTTCCAGACCAGGCCCCTCGCTCTCGCTGTCTGCATTGGCCGCTCCTCAGTGTGACAAAAGGGTGCTGGCCAGATGCCCAGCTAGTTCCTTTTCTGTACCGACTTGCTCCTGATGGTGTTTCTTTTAAAAGAAACTATTTCATCGACACCTCACTGAAAAAACTCTACTGCTGTGGACAGAATGTTCCACAAAAGTTCCTGCAGATTTAGGGGAATGTGAACATTCAGTAGCTCTGGTTGTTTCACGATGCGAGAATGCGGAAACCACTAGAGAGCATGCATTAAATCAGAGAAAGCTGGTACAGACGTAGGCAGGACACCTAATAAGGGAGAAACAGCTAAAGGTTTATTCCATGCTGAAAGGAAAAGGAAAGGCAAAACATTTCGTCTGTGGGGCCTTCTTCAGATGTCACATCATGCCTGTTGTGTCGCTTCCTTTCCTTTCAGCATGGAATAAACCTTTACCTGTTTCTTTGCAGCCTACACATGCTCCCTACTTGAACTTCATGGATGCCAGCATTGACTTCACCTACACAAAGCGGAATTAGAAGTCTTTTTAGATGGTACTGTTGTGAAGTGGCCAGGCCTAATTAATGTTTACATACAGTTATAGCAATATGTTTGTTCTTAAAAGACACTGAAACCCCGAAATTAGTTCCTCTTACAGAAAATGCAGCAGCTACCACCTAAGCCTTAAAAAACTGTTTGGACTTAACCTGAAAAAACTGCTCCGTGAAATACCTGAATTTGAAAACGTGAAGTGAAGCAATCTCAGTTAATATCAGACTTCCAATATCATAAATGTGTATAAACTCCTTTTACAATTTAAATTTTCAGGTAAAAAAAATAATAATTTACATCCATCAACTTAATGAAAATCTCCTGTAAAGAGTTTTTTAAATACATTTAAAATGATGGCATTAGAAACCCAAGATATTTACAAGCCCAGGTTTCCCAAAATAAAAAGAAAACTTTAAATTAAAAATTATTCTCCAAGAGCCCAACTGGGCACACTGGCACTGCAGATGTGCCTGTTTATAGAGCCAGGCCAGTGTCTCTCTTCACCTGCTCTTTGTCCTGTCAGAACAAGATCCTCTTGTGCCTTTTCCTGCTGCCCCCCCGCTTCCTACACTCACAACTTAAACAGGGTTCAACTGCTAATCAAGTGACACATCTCTGACCGCAGGAGTCCGGCCTTAAAAGTATTTTTTAGATTGAAGACGTTACACCAACGGACTTGTTGTTTTATCATTTTTATCCAAAAATGGAAAATAAGTAAAGTGGCAGGTGTTATTTCCTTTATACCAAACAATAGAACATACAACTTTTCACTGTCATTCTATCTGCTGTGTTGAAGTGCTGATGCAGTATGCCAGGTTCAGCATTTTAGTAATGTGGAGTGAACGTACTGTATGTCCGGCATGTTTCAAAAAGCACTTAAAACGACTGATAACAAATCATGTGTCTGGTTACGCTTCTTTTCGACTCACTCCATGGTAGGAGGAATCGAGATCACCCCTCTTCCACAACACACACACACACTCAAACTATATACATTCTCACCCAAGTGTTCACTAGGGCAGCCTGTTGCTTGTGTAAAACGCATTGGCAAACATGAGGAAATATTCATGGAAAATGTTTTCTGCCTTTGAAAATATAGTGTGCAGGGGTCATGGGTACTGTGAGCAGATGGCATGAGCAGTCACACCCATTTCAAGCTGGCAGACCCTACTAGCAACCAGTTGTTGGCTGAGGTTCCCAGCCCACGTGTGTGGATCCAAGTTTGCATCAGACTGGCACCCTGTTCTGGTCAGCAGATGTTGACCAACAAACGCAAACAACTTGTTTACTGGGGCTGTGGTCTCATCTCTCCTGAGAAAGCCCACATGCTATTATAGGAAATGTTAGTATTCTTTCCATACTTCAGCTCTCGTCTTCTGCAGAATAGGTTATGAACAAATACTTGCTGCACCTTAGGGAATTTTTGTTTGAAGCCTGTTTCAGCATTACTGCAGTTGTTTTTATTTCAGACATGAACAGGCAGCCAAGTGTGAGAGGTTAACCTAGATGTGACCTCCAGATTCCAGGTCAAAGCATGGGTGAATGAAAGCAAGACGTTCACCTGGCGGAGCATTTATGTCCTTTTCCATTCCAAATGTGATTCATGATAGGGATTTTATTTACAGAGTGCATTAGTGCTCTGCTGTCTTTATGTTATGCCCATGTGAATTGTGAAATACAGGGAGATACAGTTTGTATATTGAAAAGCAGATACGTATACTGTATGTACTGCTGGTTTAACAGATAACAACACTGAAACAGTAACATCTATTTAAGTGGTGGATTAGTAGTTCTCTGACTTGGGCTAAAAAAATCCTGGTTCAAAGGCTAACCAAAAATCATTTCGAATTTATGTTGGGCTAAAAACTCCTGGTTTAAAGGCTAACCAAAACTCATTTCGTATTTATGTTTAAAAATCATATCCGTAACTGCAGTACAGATAAGTGGTTATTTTACAGACAATTCTCAGTGTCCTCTTGTCCATTGAGCTGTTGTTGTCCCTTTTGTCAGAAACGTACAGAGAGTGCCCCCTACAGGAAATGACCTCAATTGAATGGAGGATAAGATTTAATGTCAACATACTGTATAAGACTTGTACTGAAGAAGCTAATAATTTTACTGCTTTTTTACACAACACATCAAAGTGCTAGTATATAAGCGATTTTAACCATAGAGGGTGTGCATAATAAAACACTCGATAACAGCACACATAGAAGGAAAAATTCATCTTATGTTGTATTCATATATACTCAAGACTCCTTACAGGTTGAGTTTATTTAGGGATTTGTACTGCAGGAAATGTTTTTTTAATAATTCTTTTAAAAATAAAACCAGTTATTTCAGCGCTTTCATTATCTTTGATATACCCACCTAAATTGGTACAGACACATCTGTTTTTTCACATCTCATCTCTCAGCTACAAACACCTCCTTCTGCCCACCTTAGAGCCAATCATCCTCCAACACGACAGAGGCAGCACAGCCTCCTAGCGAAGACTCAGCGCTGATTGAAGCAGAGGCACGCCACTCATATGCCACCAAGACATGGCCCAAGTGAGTCCAAATCTGACCTGTAAAACCACTGCTCGTTGACCTGTTGGAGATTCTACTAATAGTTTTCTTTCCAGCATTTGTTTGTGACACGAGAAACAGTAAATGAAGCAAGCCAAAATATTGTAGTGTCGTATCGTTTTGTGCTGTGACCCTTTTTTAGAATGTGCAACTCATTTCATGAGCTGTGTTAATCAAAAGTATTTTAATTTATGAGACTTGAGCCAAAAAGAAAATGTAATCAAGGAATAGAAAATCAGCAGAGGGATACAATGAACTACAACAAAACCATAATTACTGTAGATGATGTGGGTTCAGTATATTTACTAACTTACTCAGCTGATGCTTTTATCCAAAGCGACTTACATTGGCATCCATTTATGCAGCTGGATATTTTACTGAAACAATAAAGCTGAAGTTCCTCACTCAAAGGTACAACAGCATTGCGTCGCCTGGGATTTTAACCCTCAGCCTTCCAGTTACAAATTCAGATTCCTATCCACTGCTCCACAATGTTGCCTCCTGTATACAGTACCTTTGCTCAGTATTCCCTTCCCCAAGGCCCTTTAATGTTCATCGGTAGTCATAAGCTTTACAGTATTACCATATGTTTAGGAATTTGTCATATGTATTTTAAAAAGTCAAAAAGAATAAATAGTAAAATAGTCTTAACATGGTCTCCCTTTGTATACACAGTCACCAGACTAACTTTAATAAAAGTTGTCTGAAGCAGGGCCAGACCGAGAGTTTAAATGCTGGACACGGTCAAGACGTAGTGTGGGCTCAAGCTGCTTGAAGAGCACAAAGACGGGCAGGAAGGAGACACGCATTCCACTGCGTCTCTTGTGGCACTGTGCGTGAGGTGCTGGAACACATGGCGTGCAAGTGCGAGCTACGTGTACAGTGAAAGAAACCAACGCAAGCCCACAGCTCTTTACATAAATGTCATCTGGCAAATCGCTGTGCCATATCTTTGGCTTTTGGCATATGCAATAATTAGTACCAAATGCTTATTAGTAGACACTGATGCCTGCTAACAGCTTGCATGCTTGGCTGAACCCTGGAGTTAAGAGTCACTCCTTCTGTTTCTCTGATGACAGATTATAAATCATGTTTCAGCCCAATAGCACACTACCTACATCTCGGTGACCGTTTGCCTCCGGGTCAAAAGTCACGAGGATGTCATACAGAATTAGACCAGCAATTAGTTGCTGTATTATTGGGGAATCATGTGACAGATGTTGTTTCACATGGGTCTGACTGATATGCACTTGTGCATAAATGATACTGTATGATACACCGGGCAGGATGGACCCACCTTACATCATAGGGATCCATTCAGCATAAATCTAGTAAGTACACATGACTGTTATCACCGAAAAATATTTGTATTCCTGACCTATTTTAAAGGTCATTCAGTCGACTTCCTCTCATTACCATGAAATCACACAGGCTTAGATAAGGGGACATGACTGGCTAATCTAAGTCACTCCAGTGTGAGCAACTGGAAATTGACCTCCAACATTGATCATCAGGGATGATCAGACAGATTTGTAATCTGTGGGAGTGAGCAGGGATCACTAGATTTGTCACCCTCACCTTCTGCCTTGGGGGATCGGGAATCAATAGACTCCCTTCAGGCAGAAGGTTCCACAGAAACACACGAGAAGCAAAACCAGGACCAGAGAGGTAGCTGTACTAACAGCATTGTGTCACACTTTTTGATCGAGTTTGGGAAAAAAGTAAGGAAAACAAAGTACTAAAAAATAAAAAACAGAGAGTTCGGAAAAGAAAAGAGGTTGACGAATGCAGTTTTGAAAATGAGACAAAACATCTGTGAAAAAATACCTTTTCACATCTCAAGGATTATGATCACTCCCATCTGCTAATCAGACAGGAAGGAAAAAGAAAGACATCCCACAGAAGGGCACATCCTGAATTTCATCATAAAGCCAGAATTCCTGTTAATCTATCGCAGGACAACTACATTTTTCATTTTACCTTTAGCCAGCCTCAATTCCTTGGGTAATTGCAAATTGTTCTGTTGTAGTCATTCTTTTAACATCGTTCTGTTTTATGTATTTATATGTTTATGAAACAGTTCAAAACAGGTCAGTAAATTAAAAAATGCTACTTTTCTTAAGAAGTGTATACTTCCACTAAGTATATACAAGAAATAAAATGCACATCTGAACAACTATGTTCAGAACCATATATCCACATTATCATCCAATTAGACTGACAACAGATGTACCCAATTGTGTAATAACATCGGTTTATGTTACACCTATGGGCCAGCAGGACTGTCTCATTTAGGCAGCAATGTCTGTCTTCAGGCCTTAACAAGGTCTACTGCTGATCTGTGAACCTCCACTCACTGAACATAAGCTGTCTTCCACGAACGTCATTGTCTCGTCCCTTTTCAGCATGTCCAATGAACAGTGCAGGATTCTCTGTTCCTCATTCCTCAGAGATTCCACTAGGTCCAGCTGATGCCTGAGAGAAGCTGACGCTCTTCCCTTCATAACATGTATCTGGAAAACAAAAATCCATTTCAAAGGAAAATGTTATTGGAGACAGAACTGCCTTGTTTACAAGTATGAAATCACTGTTTTTGTTTTCTGTGTTTATACCCTCTCAGATTTACAGTCAGAAACTATCAGTCAACATTCGGTATTGCCACCATATACCCCCTCACTCTGCTGTGGGCTACACCTCTGTAACCCCCACACACTCTCCAGCCATAAAACAGACCGTTCTCCTGGTGAAGATGTGTGAAATTGTTAAAGTTACTTTTTTGCGATAACACAAATCCAAGCAAGAGAGACACCTTCTCCAGGGCCTTGGTATTCTCATCAATGAGGTGCTGACACAAAACTGCAGCCAGGTGAAAACTGTGCTGTTCACAGCTGTGGGAGACAGGAGCGCCGAGCAGGACTCTCTTCCAAGAGGAACTGCAGGAGGAACAAGAAACAGACAGGTGATGGAGTTTCTCTGCAGGAAACTCACAGAGCAAGAGCTTCCTTGAGGACTGGTGTCTTAAAAAGAGTTATTGATTCGGTGCTCATGTGAATTATTTTCATAAACATTTAGCATAAAGTGAATATACATTTGTAGTATTTTTGTGTTTTATTGCACTGCACTGCTTGTTTTGGAATACTTACTGAGCTGTTTTAGTTTAAAATCCATCTAACAGAATAGCTAGAAAAGAAACCAATACAGATTTTCTTCTTGAAATCCCTAGATTTATTATATTTTTGAATCCCAGGACAGATAACAGTCTCCTCTTTCACTCTGCAGACACTGATTAGAAGAACACTATATGTGATGCATCCTGATCCTTTGTTGTCTACTCTGATTGCGGGAAAGACGGCAGACTTTAAACACGCTAAAATCTCTCCAGTTTTTAAGTCACAAAGACAGTTCCATGATTTATAGACTCTACACATGCAGGCCTTTTAGTATCTTCTCTGCAGGTTCATTCATCTAATTAGCTCACTTGCTGAGTGATTTATTTGTGAACTGATAAGAGTTCTCCAGAACTTGGCTGCTCATTTTGTTCACATGGTTCCAAGTATCTTGCTACCTGACAGGAGATATGGAAAGCTACAGGGTGATTTTTATATTCATACAACACATATAACGTGGCACAGTGGAGCAGTTGTTAGCATTCTGACATCGCAGTGCCCTGGGTTCAATTCCTGCGGTGCTAACTGCGTGGAGTTTTGTGTGTTCTCCTTGAGTTCTCTTGGGCTTCCTCTGGAAATGTGTTTGATCAACAGGAAGGTCACGTTCTGACTATATTTCTGAGCAGTACCATAGTTTCAAAAACATTTGGCCATAGCTATGAATCACTTTTTTATCGCCATGCAGATAGATTCCTAAGCTTCAAATAAAATCCTATTCATGACAGGCTAACACAACTGAATCTCAAAGTCTTGAACAAAGATGACTATGAGAGGACTTTATTCAAGATTTTACCAAATGCTGAGGCACAGTGCTTCCTCAGAATGAACAGTGAACCAGAGGACACTAGTGGAAACAACATCAAAGTGCACTGAAAGCTGAGAACAGGAGGCTCTTTTTTACTCAAGAGTGTTGTGGGAGTCTTTATTAGACCATTAGACCAGCCTTATGTCTAGACAGCTTTTTCCAAGAACCAGGAACGTGAAATCATTTGATCAATTACCCACTAGCAGCCAAGTGGACGAATCCTCTCCACTTGTTTGTAATCTCTCTTATGTTCCAGCAGTGAAACACTAACCAAAAGCTACGTAGACTAAGTTGCTGGGTTATCGATGAGCCAACGGACTCCCTTACATAAGTGTGTCAATTCTAAAGAGTGCTAACTTACAACTCGTCAGGTTGGAGGGAAAGCAGCCTGAGTGTCATCAGCAGTCTCCAGGAAGGACCGTCAAGCCCAAAGGTCAGGTTCCTGTCATGTGACAAGGTGAGAGGGAAGAGTTAAAGCACACTCTCCACTGCACAGCTCAAAGAAGAGCTCTGGTGTATAAACACTCACTCTGAAAAGTCATGATCCTTTAAAAACATCAGCTTCTGAGTGATCTGCTGATCTCTCCTTGTAAGGCACAACTGAAGGTCCTCTGAAAATGAGACAAATGTGTCAGATTTACCTATTAAAGGAGAAGATGTCTATTTACAGACCATATAGCCAGCAGCCATATCACCCTGCAACTCACAACTGACAACCCACTGAAGCTAAGCAGGTGTGAGCCTGGTCAGTACCTGGATGGGAGACCTCCTGGGAAAAACTAAGGTTGCTGCTGGAAGAGGTGTTAGTGGGGCCAGCAGGGGGCGCTCACCCTGCAGTCCATGTGGGTCCAAATGCCCCAGTATAGTGACGGGGACACTGTACTGTAAACAGGCGCTGTCCTTCGGATGAGATGTAAAACCGAAGTCCTGACTCTCTGTGGTCGTTAAAAATCCCAGGGTGTTTCTCAAAAAGAGTAGGGGTGTAACCCTGGTATCCTGGCCAAATTTCCCATTGACCCTTACCAATCATGGCCTCCTAATAATCCCCCTCTATGAATTGGCTACATTAGTCTGCTCTCCTCCCCACTGATAGTTGATGTGTGGTGAGCGTTCTGGTGCACTATGACTGCCGTCGCATCATCCAGGTGGGGCTGCACATTGGTGGTGGTGGAAGGGAGTCCCCATTATTATAATTATTATTATACCTATCTAGAGTGGATGTAACTATATTGGTTTTAACAAACAAGTTAAAATAAGATTATTTTTTGCCCTGTGAAAGAACCATGAACGCAGAGTAAACAGTGCCTTAACATATATGAATACTAAATTATAGGAAAGGAACCATATACAAAAAAGACCCGGATACAAAGATAAAAAAAATGAAAAATTACTGTTTTTGCATGGATGGCTTTGGACATAATATACTGTGGTAGGTGTATATTAATAAGCATCATACATAATGAACATTTATCGTAGTAGGTGTTGTTCATCAATGTAAATTCTCATATTGTCTTTCTGAAAATGGCCATCATTTTATGCCAAGATCAAAAATAAAGAGGAAGGTCAACTAAGCCTACTGTAAATACAAAACGCAAGGGAAGACCAGGACCTGTGCATGGAATGCTATGGGACGAGCTTAGGCAGCAGCTTTATATTTAGAAAAAGTAATTACCTACATTGTTTTTTTAATCATGTGCCCCACCCAATTTAGTTCTGACTTGGCGTGACAGCAACTGCTCCCACACTACCAGGGAGAGGGAGGGTGTGCACACGAGCTCCTACGCACCACCCATCTGCCAGTGCTGCTCATTTCTCACTCACTTCCCGCTGCGCAGCGCCTTGGAGGAGATGGACTGCCAAGTGCGAGGGCGGCGACAAGCATCACTGCCGTCTTACAGGCCCGGGCCCCGCCGGACACCTGGTCACAATCGAGGCCCGGAACCGGGGACGCCGGGGCCGATGGGTTTAAGCCTTGCGCTCAGAAACGGCGCCACTGATCGAGCCACGCGGCAGCCAGCTTTTCCCCCCATAAGGAGGCACGACACACCGTTCCCTCACCTCGCTCCACGTAAACCGCGCTGTGCGGGTTGCCCCGGGCAACGAAGCCGTACTCCAGCAGCAGGCGCTGGTTATCGTGGGGCCCATAGCAGATGAAGGCCTGCTCACGCCTCCTGCAGCCAGAGCCACTCCTGATCTCGTAGCATCTGCTCTGCTCGCTGAAAGCAGCTTCAACCTGCAAGGCAGTGGGTGTGCTCACAGAGCTCAGGGGGCCATTGGACGCAATACTACAATACAATACTCAGCCACAAATACTGTGAACGTGGCTTAATGATTTTAACGAACCTATCCTCTGTCCTGAGTGATAAGTGTGATACTTAACACACAACTGGATTTAATTGCTTAGAAAATAAAACACAGTAAGACTAAAGCAGTATATCAAAGTCTAATGTATAAGAATAAATAACTAGAAATATAGCTGAGCAATTCCCTGTGTGAGATAACTATTGTGGTTTATTCAAAGATGTTTACAACTTTATGATAAACTTCACTAAAAACATATATTTGTTTACTAAGGTTGTACATTATGTTTGAGGGGAACTGCAGTCCCACTTTTTCAGACCGGTTACTAAATCTCAGTAACAAAATAAATTAATTGACTGTATAGAAAAGTTTTACAAATTTGGAATTAAGCACAAAATCTTTTTGAAAGTACTGTAAGTCGCCATGTTGTCACAAACATGGAACAACATGAGAGTTCCCATGAATTGTGATCTGATGCAGCCCTTCCTGCTCGTTAGTCACTGTAAAGACTAATGTAATGCAACGTATGAGCAAATTAAAAAGGCTACAGCAGATATTTCACCGCAGAAAGTTTCCAACGTGATCTGCATGCAGAGTTAACTAGTAAGTTCCATTTGTTGGCAAAACCGTCTTGAAGTCGAGAGTAATATTTCTATTGGATTGAAAGAGATTTATTCACCAGACTGCTTTATAATGTAATAGGCCTGCTTCAAGTCACCGGATGTTTTGTTGGCTCGTTCAGAATCACAGAAAATAGTTTTGCACATACCTGGAAATCTTGTCTACTTTGTTACATAAACTGGAGGTTTTACACGTTACTGAGTACATTTGACTTTTATTGTGGTTTGAAATGGAATGGTTTTGAAATGGACTCATCCATGCCAATTCTTTCTAACTCTGAAACACGAACACAGAGTTGCAGTTCCTCTATAAGCCTTGAAGTCATTGTGAACTGTTTCAGGAAGAAATTGGTGAAGAGTGTGCAGTACTCTTCACCAACTCTTCCACCTTCTCCTGCATACGCATCAGCTGTCTTACCTGCACATCTGGACAGTGGTTGAGGAGATCTAGATAGGGAGCCAAGGCGTACACATCTGGCTCCATGGAAAGGAAATCGCTCTGAGGGTGTTTCATGTACACAGTGCGAGTGTTGACGCTGCACCAGGCCCAGCACAAGGCATCCTGGGTAAAAATATTTTCCACTGATTGGCTGAACAAGGGCTGAAGAGACTTAAAAAATGAAACTGCAGACTCGTACAGCTCCTGAACTGTCTCTCTCTGCTTCAGAGCTTTTTTTCTAAGAGCTGCAGGTAAGAGGTTCACTGTGTCTTCAGAAAAATAGACAGGACATGTATATGTTTTGGGCAGAACATCAATGTAGGGCTTCCACAAAGATCTGGTCCCAGAATGCCTTTCAGAGATGAGAAATGTACAGAGGGCCAGCAAAGGAGACACTGGAGGCTTCCACCTGCCAACATAAAGCTTTAAATAGTGACACATTTCTTTGAGATGTAACTTCATACACTGGGACTAAGAACAGGATCTTCTCTCTGGAACTGACTTGCCTCTTGTCCTGATCCCAATAATTACCAGTTGGTGTCCAATAGTCACTTGTGCTTTGGTTTGCTATCAAGTTGAGAAGCAGAGCTGGATTTTGAGACATGACAAAGACTGTGTTCAATAGCTTAAAACTGTGTGGAACCAAGAAGATTGATGTACTGTAACACATCAATTTCCCTACGTGGTTAATTAAGTCTTATCTATCTATATAAGATACTCACTTAAGGAAAATTGGATCAGAGGCCAGCTGTTCATATTAATGGGCATGGAGCATTACACTCCTTTGTCCTACTCCAAACCCTCCTCATGTGCTAAAGGAATTTCAAAAATGTCCAACTGGCCCACTTCAGGTTATTTATTCCATTAAGCCCTTCTGTGTTCAAGAGCAGTGAACACCTGAAGATGCTGTGGCATCTTGTTAGAAACCAAAAGTACAGGATCTGTACAGGTGTCGTGGCATAATATCATCTACCTTACCAGCTAGCAGCAACATTCACAAACTCTTTGAGCAGATTCTCCATTGTACCTTTTAATAAGTTCACCCATATGGCTTCTCAGCACTGTGGATGTGGACAGCAGGCATTTTTCAGGTAAAGAAATAATCAGGTCCCCAGCCTAGAAGAAGGGCAAACTTGATTTTATTTCCCCTCATATTTCTGTTGGTCTATATACACATACAGCTCATAGACATATACAGTAGTATTAAATGTCTTTCTAAAAGAAAATCTGCATTGTCTTCCACATTTATACCAAATACATTTTAAGTACAACTGTGTATCGCTTTTTTTACTTTCTTTCTAAATACATTTGTATATTTGTACTATCTATAACAAAAACTAGATCATTTATATCAATAATCTAGATTCTGGGATATCAGCAAAGAAGTCAATTTTATGTATGATACTACATTCTGAGGATCAATAAGTACTAGAAGCAATAAATGAAATTCAAAAAGATTTAGATAAAATACATCACAGTGCAAACACGTGGCAGATATAAATAAGTGCTAGGTTTTGCATGCTGGTAGTAAGAACCTAAACTCTAAATATAAAACTCTGACCTTAATGAGGCTACTTATCAAAAAGACTTAGGTCTTCATGTTGATACAACATTAAATTTTCTAGACAAAGAGAGAAAGCAAAGAAAGCAAACACAATGTATGGATATATAATTGAAAAAGCAGAAAAGAGTAACATTTAAAACAAGGGATGTTATTTTAAAATTTTCTAAATTACTAGTAAGGGCTCATTTAGAATACCATGTAGAATTTTGATCACAATGGTTTAGAAAAGATGTTGCCGCTGTGAAATAAGACTAGAGAAGAGCAGCCAGATACAATCATGGGTTTAAGGGAAAGTCCTGCACTGACAGGGAGAAGGATCTGAACCATTTCCGTTTTGAACAGCAAATACTGCGAGGGGACCTGGTACAAGTATTGAGAATCCTCAAGGGCAGTAACCATGTCGAATTCAGTGGACTTCATTAGGTTTTAACTACGTGGTAGTGAATTTAATACCGAGAACAGGTGGCACTTTACCCAATAGGTTGTGGGGGCCTGGAACAAGCTGATAAGCCATGTTGTTTTAAGCCAATATCATGGCTTCCTTCAAGAAACAGCTCAATGAGATCCCTGGATCAATTAGATATCGTTTCTCACTCTTCTTACAGACTAAATATTTTATTTTCAGGCACCCATAACTTTTGCAAACATCTGTGAATTTGACAAAGGTCCTACTTTGCCACTGTAGGTTTGAAACTGCAGTACTGAAACCAACAAAAATGTAGATTTCTCTCCTTTATAAATATTTATTTTCTACATTGAGCCTGTTACCATTGCCACATAGAGCAGCTGATGGACAAGGCATCTTGTTCACATTCATCTTTGCTTGCTTAAAATAACCCATTAATAATCTTAAAAAACCAAGCACATACTGAGACTAATTCTCTGGTCTGCATGCACTGTTAAAGCCACCTTCCTTCATATGTATTGAGTCAACTTACCTCAATTGTCTCGCTGGTCATAAGTCCTCTTCCTGTGTCTGAAAACATGAAAAGGTAATGAATTAGACCGCACATAACTTTGACTCAATATGCATCCTAAAAAATGCAATCTTGGAATATCTGTCATTTACTGTGGTATTCCAATAAAATCATATTTTTTTTGTTGGGACTGATTTAAGAAATATATGAAGTATGAAGATACAGAGGAAACACCTCACTAAATTAAACAGTACAGTGATATTTCTGATTTGTGAAAAGTTGATCATCTTGTTGTAAATAATGAAAAAGAATAACAGCAGGCCACCCAGAGATTTGGCAGTTAAGCCTTAATTGAGCAAAATAAACCCTCTTCTTCACATCCTGTGTTACTGATTTGAGAAGGCTTACAAACTGCCCTGTCCTCTGCTCTCGAGGCTCAGTCTAGGGAAACCCTGGACCGCAGGAATCAGACACACACATCAAGGGCGGTACACACACAAATGCACTTGTGAACCACAGGGGCGTCATGAAAAATAAAGTGCTTCTAATACCTGAAAAATGAGCTGGAATCAAGCAGGTGGAGCTGAAGCCCCTCAGCTTTAACCATCTTCTCAGCTCTACGTACTGGGATTCCCCACTAAGATTAACTGAGGCAAAGAAGAAGAAACAGGTAAGCACTGGAACAAACACACGTCTGGCCATCTCGTCATTGTCAGCACATTTCTACTAGCGTTTAAGATGAGCTCTTGGCTGACCAGTCCTAACTGACCCTAACTGTCCTAACTGACCCCTTAGCCAGAGTTGCAGTTGGAGAGTATCAGGGTATCAGTGGGATAAAAATACTCGGGAGGAGTGAAAGCCATCTGGGACAGAGGTCCTCCTAGACCAGAGCTCTCACTCCTGGAGGGCCAGATGTCCTCCAGATTAGATGCATACTCGTAGGCTTCTAAGCAGACTCTCAGGATACCTGTAAATGCTGTGGGTCTCTAGGATAGGTGTTGGGCACCAGAGTACAGGATCTGCACAGGTGTGTTGGCATACTGTAATCTACACTGCCAGCTACCTACAGCATTCACAAACACTTGGGTGTTTAAGGTGATTTGACAGTATAGGAATATGTCTTTAATAAAGCCATATTATCAATTGTAAAAGACCTAAAGAAAACGTCTTTATATGTGTAACTTAGCACGTAATTCGGTTAATGTATTAATTGACTAACCAGGCTGAAAGCTGAAACAGAAAGCAGGAGAGGCCGAGCTCTGAAAGAACTGAGTTTGAAACTAGTGACCAAAGAAAAAAACATCCCTGTGATGTACAGAGAAAAGCTCTGCCGGCCACCCATGTTTCTGGAGCGCCGAATCCAGCATGTTTAACAAGCCAGCCTTCAATCATCCACTCCGAGCACCAGCAGCAATTTCACACGGACTTAAATCCTTCAGTTAGTTTGGTTTTTTAATTGAATGAATGTTCATATCAATTGCAGTGTAACCTTACTATGTAAGAGTGACGCCCGATGTCAGATCGCTGCTTTGGTTTTGCCACAGTCTCACCTCCTTGTGCGGGGTCCCCAAAGTGTTTACGTCTTCTTTTTCGCCCTGCTCTCCCGAATCGTTTTCTCATGACGGATTTATCTTGGCGGGTAGAACAAAATACACTCTATGAGCTCTCCACGTATCACTCCGGACGTCAGTCTCCCACACTACACTAAAATAATATGCAAAAATGGTTCATATTTGTCGTAGATATAAAGTGATCATTGGCTTTCTTTACTATAAATGTAAATCCGTGGTTAGTTCAAATAGAATTTTAAAATTCTATCCAAATTAGATTTTCAGCAAATACCTTGTGAAAAGAAGAGAAACTTATAATGTGAAGTAGATAACTTCTTCACATTTATATTCACAGCTTTGAATCACTGAAATCTTGAGCGGTATCGCAGGTGTTACGTGCTAATCCCAAGGACAAATAAAGAGACATTTACAGTTCAGTCCATCGTTTAAAAAAAAACAGTCCAGAAACCAGTCAGCCACCCGCGTGTTTCCTTCTCAGATCAAAATAAACGTGTTTTCCAAACAAAGCACTGGTAAGACATGTCAGTTACTGGTGTGCATGATGTTACCAGAAAAGGGAGCCGTTTCTACGAGTCCAATGATTATACAACCCTTCAGTGAGCATGCCAGTAGGACGGTAATGGGTCCAACCCGACCTGCACAAGACCACACCGCTCTGTGTTGAACACTTCGCGATTCCTCTCCTCCAGCAGAACCAGAAGCTTTTTCACTTCCGCCAGCGAGAGAAAGAATCGCGAGAGGGCAAGGACGTTGTTTCGCGCTCCACTTGCTTATTACTTGTTTTCTACAGTCCTTTGCTGCTGTGCCTGTTTCTGTTGGCCAGGTCAGTATTACACGACGGATTTGGGTAGAAAATGCATGCTAATTCTTATGCGATCTCATTTCTTATTCTTGTGTATCCGGCTCCCTGTGTGTTAGTTGTTGTGAAATCAGCCACTAACCTAGTTTCTAACCTGCAGGTGAGACTGCGGTGTTATTGGCCAGGGTCGTATCCTGGAGCTACAGATTGGGTGCGACACCGGACAGTTCAGGACACTGTACGCATTCAGTATCAGAGTGCATTTTATTTTTAAAACGGACTGTACCATAAATGGATGTGTTTTGCAAAAATGCGACCAGGATCGTTTTTTTCTTTGGAAAATTAAGTCACAAGAATGTTTCAGAATTTGAAGAAAATAGGCAACTATCTTGTTAGAGGTGCTCCAGTCCGCACAGTTTAAAATGTCAGATGGCCTTTCCTTAATGAAACTTTTTTTTCGATTTCTCGCTTTTTTAATCTTTTTACTGCAACAACAAAAATATATATAATACACACAAGATTACATAATCAGGGGTACATAATACAGTTCCATTTGACAAAAAAGTTTATGAGGTAAATTAAGAAAAGGTATGCACAGATTTCATGCTAAAGTAAAACATATATTACATATTACAATAGATATTAGAATATAAATACAATACTGCAGACATTACACATATTACAAGATAAATACAATATTAGACAATATGGCCACTTAATTTGCATGAGTACGTCATGAGCCACGAGGGTTTCCATTGGAGCATAGCGAATACGTTGTCTTTGTGCGCAGTAAACAGGACCTTTTTTTTAGTAAGCAGAACCTTGGATATCAAATCCAAAGGTTTTTACGTTGGAACGCGCATTCAAATGACGTGTTACGATTTAAATGTGCATTGATAATGTAAAAATAGCACATATGTATACGACATACTCACAAATAAAGCTTTAATGGACCAAACACATTACAATAAGGGTTTTATGATTTTCTTTGACGTACTGTACATTCGGGGAAGACGTTTTTTAAGGGTAAATAATAATTATATAAGATTTAACATTCAATATAAAGATACGCACTGCGTAAACCTAGTTACATAAGTCTTCCAGCTGAACTTCCGTTTGTGTCAAAAATACATCTTTGGAACTGTACTGTAAATATAAGCACACTTTGTGTTTATCAGTACTGTAGCTGGGCCCAAACCCTGGTACTGGGTGACCCCTGTATCCCTTGGGTTATGCTTCAGTTGAATTCTTAATCACTAATTGAATTCATTTTTTATTCTGTCTGGAATATTTTAAATTAGCCGTTAGCTCTTTAATGGTCCAGCTAAATTTGAAATGGGTATCAGCCCTGTGCCAGTTTCTGAGTGTCAGAACTTCCTTTCTTCCAGCGTGTTAGCAGAACCCTAACCCACTGGACCTCTGTAGAAGGAAGGGACTTACTATTGGAGCTTTTGCTACACTTTCATTCTAGCCTGTGTCTGGTCCTTCTAACCTGAGCTGCTCTTAACAAATCAAACAGAAACAGGGTAAGCGCTAAAATAGAGGAGAAACTGCATAAAATTCAGTTTACCAGAGTTGGAGGTGACAGAAAGTTTGATGGAGTCTTTTTTTTTAACCCAAAGTAAATGTGGAACTGATACAAGGTATATTGGTTAATAAGTACTCAATTTGCACTAGTGATTACGAATTCTACTGAAACGAAAGCCAACATACACAGGTCTCCCTGGAAATTTAGATGTTTCCTAAATCTAAACAAAAGTTTTTCAGTCTAGACTTTTGTTAAAATACTTTTCTTTAAACCCCAGGAGACAACAGAAGCTGTAAATTAATTTTAATAGTTTTAATATATCAAGCCCAACTGAATGTGACTCAGTTTAATTCTCAGGATCAGTTAAGTAATGTAGATGAGCACCTTATATTTTAACAGAGGCCAAGGATTGTTCTTAGCACATGGAATTGTTTGAAATGTATAACCTATATTCCATTGCTTCAGTTTTGGTACAGAATGATGAAAAGTTTGAATATCTGCAGAGAGGGGGAGAGAGTCTGGGATAGCACAATGTTTTTCCTGACCGAGAAAGAAAAATTAACAGTAAAATGGGGATGATCCTGGTTTGATCTTCCTCTTTCAACTTTCAAAGCACAAAATAACATTCCAGTTGTCTTTGTGCAGACCCTGAAGACATGTCAACCCCCAGAGTGGCGGTGGTCACTGGCAGTAACAAGGGCATTGGTTTTGCGGTGGTGCGAGCCCTCTGCAAGCAGTTCACGGGGGACGTGTACATCACAGCCCGGGACGTGGGCCGGGGACAGGCAGCAGTGCAGAGCCTGAAGTCCGAGGGCCTGAACCCACTCTTCCACCAGCTGGACATCACCGACCTCACCAGCATTCGCACACTGAGAGATTTCCTGAAGGAGAGATACGGTGGGATAGATGTGCTCATTAACAACGCTGGCATCGCTTTCAAAGGTAATAGAAATAATCACAGAAATAATGTGCAGATGGCACAAATCAATTTAGAGGCAAAACAGAATTGCTCTGCCTGGACCAAGCCACGTCACGCAAATTGAGCTCGACATGGGGGTCCAGGCAGTGACTGAGCAAACATTAAACAAGGGAGGTGAAAAAACGCGATTACAATGTGTCCGTTAACTTGGATGGATCAGACAGTTCTTGTTGTTTTCATTTTTACAAGTGTATACTGAACATCAAAAGAAACTTAACACTACATTTCTGCATTTATGATATTACAAAAATAAAAGCATACGGGTTCAGGATATTAATTAAAATATTTTTGGTGTCTTTTTAAATAGTTGGTTCATGACTGGCCATGATACAACTCTTTGACTAAATATTGTATAAGCACTAAATTCGTGGGGAGACTGAGCACCTGTGAATTTTGAATTTTGAACCTGGTGCATATTACAGAAAGGAACCAATTTCACCTCTTATCAAGACAACGGTGTTTCATGCCATTGGAATGGTGCTCACATTGTTGTGTACAAGATTCAAAATAATGAGGAGGTGCAAATGTCTGTTCAGGACTGTTTAGTTGTGACAGAACTCCACTTGTAGTGATTCATCGCAACATGTTTGCACAGTGCTAAGTTCGTTAAGTCCTTGAACTTGCTGCCTTCCTTGCCAGACATGAGCCACAGTAAATATCCGTGGGATAATGTGTGACGTCTAGGGCTCACAGACCAGTGACCAATTACATGCTCGTCCAGGCTGTGTGAGAGGAATGGGGCAGAATCTCACTGCGTGTGCAACTTGGTGCAATTAATGAGTCACAGATGTACAGCTTGAATTGCTTCCTGCAGTGGCCTTACACTCCTAGCCCATGATTTTTGCTGTAGATGATCTGATCCTGTAGTTGATCAATCCTGTTCATCAATACATTTGCATCTGACATTTATTCAATAAAATGTCGGCACATCTTATCCAGAAAATGCCATTTTCCTGAATAATTTTGTGAATCTGTTGCAGTGACGTTTCTGTTGATGCTCAATATATATATTTAAATGTAATTATATTGGAACAAGTAATAGGTTTATTCCATGCTGAAAAGAGAAGAAAGACAACACAACGTTGTTGAGAAAAACACATTTGCCTCCAAATTGACACTGATCCCCCAAGAATACAAATTCTTGCAAAATAATTGTTATATGAAATATTTTGGGAACAAAAAGTAAACGTTTACTATTTTGAAAGGCACAATGAAACCTTATAAGTGAAACAATATGAAATAAGCAATTAACATTTTGGTTTAGTGGCTGAACAATTTAAAATGTTCAAAATGGGCTTTTTAAGAAATGTTATTTTCTTAACGCAACAGTTGGTTGAGACTGAAACGTTGTGTGGTTGTTAAATATGAAGAAAACAATTGTCTGTCCAATCTAAGCATGAATCGTTATTGACCATTTCTGTCTCGACAGTGCAAGACACTACACCTTTCGGAATTCAAGCGGAAGTAACCCTTAGAACAAATTTCTTTGCGACCAGAGACATTTGCAATGAGATTCTTCCCATCGTTAAACCAGGGGGTAAGCACAGTCTTTGAAATATAAGCTTTTTCTTTAACATACTTTTATGAAAGAGAGCATTAACATCTGAAAGAGGCAGTTGACGAAAAAACTGATAAAGCGACTTGCATAACCGCGGCCATGAAAATAATTCCTTTTTACTTTGGGTCCAGATAAAATGATTTAGTCCCGAGGTCCTCTGATTTGCCGGAGTTTTCATTTGGTTGGTTTAAACAGACTTTGCATACAGTTATGTCAACTCAAGACTCCTTCCCACATTAAGTATATGATCCTACTGAGTTTTATGTGCTGCCAGTGAGAACCCTGCTTGTGGAGCCCCGGCTCCTTCAAGATAGTGTAGGAGAGAAGGAGACGGCCTGAAAATTGTCTGTCTTAGAGTCCTCATCCCTCCCATTATAAAAAAGGCTGGTAACAGTGAGTTGACGTGTGTAACAAAGGCCAGTTGCACGTGGGGGTGTCAGCAAAATTACTTTTAAGTTCTGGGGGGGAAAAAACGTGAAGGTATTGTTCGTGCCTGTGTTGCTGTGTAGGACGAGTGGTGAATGTGTCCAGTATTGCCGGGTCTATGGCTCTGAAGCAGTGCAGCCCGGAGCTGCAGGCCCGGTTCCGAAGCGATGACATCACGGAGGAGGAGCTGGTGCGTCTCATGGAGAGGTTTGTTGAGGAGGCCAAGAGCGGCGAGCACACCCAGCGAGGCTGGCCCAACTGGGGCTACGGGGTGTCCAAAACCGGGTTGACGGTCCTGTCCAGGATCCAGGCCAGGATGCTGCAGAAGGAGAGGCCGCAGGATGGCATTCTGCTCAATGCTTGTTGCCCCGGATGGGTGAGAACCGACATGGCGGGACCGAAGGCCACAAAATCGCCCGACGAGGGGGCCGTCACCCCCGTCTACCTGGCCCTCCTGCCCCCAGGTGCTGATGGGCCACATGGGGAGTTTGTCAGTGAGAAGCAGGTTCAGGCGTGGTGAGGGTGTCTGGGGAGGGAGGTGTCACCTTGAAACAGGGGGAGCACAGCTAACAATGTCTCTGTCAGGAACCTCAAGGATGGTCCTGTCAATCATCTGTGTAGTACATACCCCTCAATTAGAATAATAATTATAATAATTGCTTACACCTATATAGCACTTTTTCTGGACACTCCACTCAAAGGGGTTTACAGGTAATGGGGACTCCCATCCACCACCACCACCTGTAACACTTTACAAAGTAAGACATTCAAGGAAACATTTGACCAAAGCTTATGATTAGTGGTCTTCAACTGAATCATGGCTTCGTAGTCACTATACTTTCTCTCTTATTTTAGTGCCTTATGAAGATAGTGTTTACCACACTATGCTAAACACTAAACACGTAATTTTGATACTCTAAAGGGAATGTTAGAAGGGATACAACCATTAGTGGGCTGGTCTTAAAAGTGGAGCTTATATTTTTGGCCGAGAATCAAATGACATTTAAAGTTGTCAGAAACATATATGAGAAAAGTAGACACCTTTTGCTTGTATGTAGTCATAAATATAAAGCTCTTCAGTCCATAAACAGAAATTGGTTTAATTTTGTTGCCTGTGAAGTGTACATTTGATTAATAAAACATTCTTACAACTCAAGAAAACATGCTCTAATGTGGTGTTAAAATGCCATTGACTTGCATTCCTAATGTCACCTGAGAGCCATCAGAGCCAAGTGGGCATCAGCCAAGCTTGGAGTGCTGAGATGTTTGCAGGTAGGATCACCAGTCCCATTCATCACTCAAGGATTCCTCAGTTAAAAATAAAATATTCCTATGGTGACTGCGTGCAAGTTATTTTTTATTGTACCGGAAAAATGGAAATTGTATCACAAGTGTGTTTTAAGAACCGAATTTAATGTGTTATGTGTAGTGTTTTGGCTGTTTGTTGTTAACCATTGCACAGTTTTGTTACTTAAGAAAGTGCCTTTGGTAATGAAAATAATGAAATTAACAACAATTAATAACAAATGAATTACAATAATTACTTTGTAATTCAAAATATTGAATTTCAATATTGAAATTAAAAGACTTAGCACTCAAACATTTTGCATTAGTGTTTCACTTTGCTAATGTGTATTTATACTTAGTTCAGCTAAAGCGGCTTAATTTTCAGTTTGAGAAAAAAAAACTGGAACACACTGTGTTGTGTTGATGATCACCCTCTTTTTATTGGTTACAAACACCATTCCAATGGCCTTGTGCTGTGGCCTGTTTATAAAGGCCAGTGAGACTTAACAATGACATGATAGGTATGGAGTGCTTTGCAAATGCAATGTAATTTACACATTTGCATTTTGCAGACAGGCTTTTCCTCCATCTAGCTGTTCATCTCTGGGCACAGTACAGGCTCCCCAACAATGGCCTGGAGCTTCAGCCCTCAGCGGAAGAGTGGCGCCTCCCTCACTGGCATAACTGCTATTCTGCAGGCTCTTGGGGAGTTATAGGTGGGGTGGCTGTTGCACTGGGCGCTAACCCTGTCCATGGTGCCAGTGAGCCAGTTGTGCACTGCATGAGAAATCCAGGACACTATAGTGACATGCCTCGGGCTCAAACTTGCGCTCTCCAGATCTTGCACCTCAGCCTGCACTTGAAGCATGTGATCATGCAGGACCCTCAGCATTTTGACTGTTGCTGACCAATTGGTTCATTCCATGGATTATGGCATCTGTTGTGGTGGAAGTGGAAGTTTTTTTTTTTTTAGATGGAAACTGCATTTCATTTAGCTCAGATGTCCGCAAATTTTGGGAGGGAGATACATTTTCACACAAAAAACATAAAAGCTGCCAATGAGAAGAGGCCATTCAGCCCGTCTCGCCCATTGGGTAGTAAGTAATTGACCTGAGGATCTCCCAACCATTTCTTGAGAGGAATGAGAGTTTGGGTTTCAATAACATGGCTGGATGGTTTGTTCAGTACTACCATGACCCTTTGTGTAAAGATGTGCCTCCTGTTCTCAGATTTAAACCCTTCCACACTTCTACAGCACTCTGGTTTGTGTTTCACTGTTGATTTTGTCGAAGGCCTGGAGTATTTTGAGCAGGTCAGTGTAAGATGTTGCGTTAAAACCTCAAACATCGGATGGCGCTTCTCCAGACTGCTTCCAGAACATTAGGTCTACGCCAATCACAGTTCCGAACAGTTCCTCTAACTACTGTTCTGGTTTTCGCATAAAAATAACGGGTCAATTGCAACAAACCGAAAGCAGTGTACTGGGGGTGATCCAGTTAGTATTCAATGCATCATCTAGGTTTATACCAATCGAAACATTGTTGATAAAATTACCCCAGAGTTCCGTACTGTTTCATATTGCAACGAAATTAAAGTAATAGCTGCTGTCCTCTAGGGGATTCTAAATTACAGAATTAACTAAATACAACTCGTTACATTTGTCAACAAAAGAACTGTTGACAAATCAATACAAATCAATCTGGTTCGTAGCTTGTCTAGTCGTCGCTAGAAGCGAAACTAAGAGCAAGCTGTCTGGTCTCTGAGTCCTAGGTGCCGCACGACATTATACAGTAGCTCGTCTCACAAATGATTAACGGGGTTTCAATCTGACAAATAGGATATCCGAGAAAACAAAACTGTCGTATTTTCACTAAGCATGAAAACTGCTGTTACACGAGCGAAACTGGGACGTTGTTGTCCCGAGCCTGCAGGAAGGGCAGTGAGTGAGGGCTTGATCAATGTAGCGCTGTGCAGTCAGGGTGCCAACCCTACAAAAGGGAGCTCTGTAGCAGCCCCACACTGCTAACCTCTCCATCATGGCTGTCAGGGGTCATTGTCACATTGTGTTTAGGGAACAGATTGCCGACTGTGAACAGCCCACGTCTAGTCATCAACATACCAATGTCAAGTCGAGCTTGCTCCCTTGTGTTCCTTTTATATTTCTTTCCTGATTTTTACCAGATTTCACATTCAACAAGTTAAATCACCACATCTCGTGTGCCAAATCCACTCACCAATGAACTGATTTGGTGCCCATGCAGCAGTCAAGGTCTTCATTAAAAAGTATGTGGCAAGTGCACTCGACTGTTTGTCGGGTCGAGTGTATCCCGGTGTGTTGGTGTGTTATTGATCAAAATGAAGCTCAAAGGATTGAATCAACATGTAAAAATCCCCAGGCTTTATTTAGCTAAATACATATCAGGTGTGCGTTTATTTTGATGCTACAACGGTAGTAACCACTGATAATATTCTAAACGAGACAATGTACTATATTTGACTGAACTGTAGCACGTTTAAAGGCGAGATCCGTAAACAAGGAAGATCCTGGACTATACCACAGAGTAAGCGAACATACCTTTTTTATCATTTCTTTTATTAATTGAGAAACGACAAGTACAAACGCCTCGGCCTTGCAGGAGGTAATAAAAGACACGGGTATTTGCTCATCGAGGTGGCGTCTTTGCTGTAATTTTAAACGAACAAGCCCCGCTCCCCCCCCCATCACCGAGACCTGCTTAGTTTCTGCCACCAGGAAGTACCAGCAGACTCAGCTGAGCCGAGATCTCTACTCTCTGCCCATCTGCTTCTACTGTCTGAAGGTTTAAGCATCGTTTTTCCTCCGCAGGTTCTGCTTTCTGTCGGAATGTTAGGAAAACTGTTCCTGTTTTTAGTCAGTCAAATGGCTGAGGTTTGCGACCCTTAAACCTCGGATAAACTGCTGTGACACTATCGGATTGTCACGTTGTCAACTCAGAAACTCGGGATTATTTGGTGCAGGTGGGTGGGTCACTTGTTTTTTTTCCCCATTGTGCCATCTAAACTGGAAAATTCACAACACATTTGTCATCTCAGAATCTCCGTTACTGCGACTGCGTTGCTTGCATGAACGGCAAAGTTTTTTTTTTTGTTAGTGTAAAGCCTGAATCCGTTTTAGCAAGTGAAGATAATTTAAATGCAAATTTCATTGAACAAGCTGGACGGATAGTGCAGTTCTGCACATCCATTTGAAACGGTTTGCGAAACGTTAACAATCTTTCATTTGCCAGCCGTTGTTAAATCCGTATTAAATGTTTTTGTCACTATCAGATTTACAGAGCACCCAGTGAATACTGCTGTAGCAGTGTGGAGTCAAAACGCTGTAGTCAGTAATATTAAACATTTGCACAATAATTGTGGTGGTTCAGGTGTCGTATCCAAGTCCCCGTGAAATGTTTTCCTGTCCGTAATGCGCACGCGCTCCGGAAAACTTTCCAGGATAACTGTGGATATCGGCAGAGGCTGTATGCATGATTGTGCTTTATCTTATTAACAGATGGACAAAAATAATTTTGTGTTTTTATCGATTTATCGGTGTATTTATTGCGTTTGCTAGGGAATAATGTAAAAATATTTGCCGACACTCCATGAACGAAAGCTTGAGTTATATTTCTACGAGACTGGGGTGCCCCAGAGAAACCATACAAAGGCTATGAGCATTATTTTGTCTTTTATGATTCACTTGATATGTGGATGGTGGGGAAAAGATTTAAACGGCGCCTGCGCGTTTTACAGGGGGATACAGAATTCCAGGGGATACAACATTAGATACGACACCGGCAATTGTTCCGAGCACGCCACAGTAATACTGGAAGCTAATCTGAACGATTTACTAATCATTTTGGCTTTGCATTAACATTTACTTTCGTGTTTTCCACAAGACGTTTGCACAGGGGTTCAAGGTAATCCGTTCATGATTAACAACAGTATGACAAAGCTTCCAGTGTAATTAATTTATCGTACAAGTTTACCATGGGAAACGAAAACGTTTTTTTTAATATGGTGAGTTCCTCTATTCCCTTATGTTACCTTACAAACATGAACCTCTCGTAACACAAACACCGAAAACTGTGGATACAGCGACTGACCGGGGCTGTACACTCACTTAAAACAGAGCGTTTATCATCAGCGGAGATAAGCGTTAGCGCTTGTCACCACTAATTTGCAACAATTTGTAATAATCTCGCGGAGCCAGTATTTGCTAGACCTGGAAATGTGATCCCTTCTTCAAGGCTAAGATACTGAAAGTCCTACACAGTTGCTGTGAATTGAGAAGCTCCGCAAAATGAAATTCTGCTCTTGAGTCACTGAGGGTGTTTCCTGAGAATGGGTGTTGGGTGACAAAAATATCACACTGAGGTCTTCAATACTGTGGCTTGGTCTACTGTATTTGTGACCAGAATTGTGACCAGAGTGCTGTAGATTAGGAGATGCGCTCTCCAGCTGTAATACAATGAGTGTTCTTCACAGAGTGGGGATTTGTGTTCAGTGCATCACCAAGCTCACAGAAGAGCAGACACTACTGCAGCAGGATCTGTTAGCTTACTAACAGATCCTGCTGCAGGATGTGCCTCATGCAGGGCCCAGCACATATGCTCTGACATATACGACTTGATATTTAAATCTCCTATGTGAATATATGGTATATTTCCATTCCTCTTGAGGATGGCCAATTTATTTTTCAGATCAAACATTCAGATTAAGTTTTGTTTGGCGTTCCCAATGTTAAATGCAGAGCCATGATTCATCAGTGAAACAGCAGTCTGCTGACTTAGTTCGGCTTCTAAAATACTTGTTGACAAGAAGTAGCTGCACTCTTGATAAGTGGGGCATATTGGTCCCTTTCTGTGATTTTCTGTCTCAAATTTCTTCAGGCTTGGCGTTCAACAGGTTAAATCACCTCATCGCCTGTGCCCAATCAGGTCTCACAGTAATGAGCTGATGTGCCCGAACAAGAAAGTCACTTGAGTGTATCGTAGCAAGTCATCAGTGGTTAATACTCAAAACGATGCCAAAAATCAAGTAATCAATATGCAAAATCCACATGCTTTGAAAAAATAAATCATACTTGCACAAATACTTTTTTATGTACATGGTATATTATATTATTATTATCCTAAACAGGTACTTATTGGAAAATGTCAAAGAATATCGGTATAGAATGGAAATAGGGCTGAGAAAAAAAAAACTCGTTTTTTGATGTAGGATGAAACTGCTGGGTAACATTGGGTCTGTAGACGTGGAAGAGTATTTGCTTTGCTTTTTCCACCTGGCTGACAGAGCCCCAGCACACCGAGCACGTGTTTGACTCTGAATACATACAGGAAACTGCTCAGTATTTCTGACCAAATATTTGGTCTTTAGTGAGGAGCTGGAGAGAGATTCTTCAGAAATATGTAGAAAATACTTAGGAAATACTGTCTTGTAACCAGAATAAGGATTATGTCGCTGACCGCCAGTGTCTGAAAGCCATCGTTGACCATGTGGCTGTGTAACTAGAATGCTGCACATGGGTTTAAATTCCACGTGAGACCCTGCTGTTTTCACCCTGAGCCAGGTGCTGTACCTGAATTGTTCCAGTGAGACACCCAGCTGTGTAAATTGTTGCATAAGTGAGTTGTTTTGGATATGTCAGCCAAATGAATTAGCAGTAAATTCGTTTAGATGTGGACGCTTGGAAGCGTCTTAGTCCACACCTTTACATAAAATGTCAGCTGTGTCAATCGATTGTCTCAGTCATGTTCTTCTTTAAAATCCACCTGCCTCGGATTATGATGCAGGTTTATGGGATGTTAAAGGAATTTTCAGAACAAAGGACTTGGTTTAGGACTTCCCCGATATTGTCATCCATAATGTAAGCAACATTAGTAGATTTGTGTGTCTGGAATTCTGGGTTCTGTTTCCAGCTTGCTGTAGTGGTGACACACGTCTCTTCAATTTGGCAAAGAGAAACGTTGCTTCATTCAGTTGTTCACGTAAGATCAGAAGTGGTTTAAAAAGTAATGTATTCCCAACAAACATGCCCAGCACCAAAGAGATTAATAAAAAGTGATCTGATGGAACAATCGCAGTTTTTCAGTACTTAGTGTTATCCACATCTCGCATGCTGCATGGTAGTACAGATGGAATGAGACCATAGGGAACTGTGGCGCTAATGGTGGGTCATCCCTGTACATTATGCATAAATTGAATAGCAGAATTAGGAGCTTTCACATACTGTAATTCATCACTTTCACACATGATGTGCTGTAAAATAACAGCTCTATCACATGACCACTGTGGTTTGAGCAAAAGCTTCAGAGGGAGGAGTTAGACCGGTGAGAGACTAAGTAATTCTTTAAAGCAGCCCCTTGCAGTGCAGTGTTCCTGCACTCTTGTGACTCTAAGGTGGAAAATTTAATCTCTTTACCAAAAGTGGTTTTTGCTTTTTTTAAAAGAAATCCTAGCCTTCGGTATGTATGCTCTCCCCACCCCTTCCTTTTAATCAAAGAAAACGCTTTTGATTTGTGAGTCTTGAGAAAGAAATTACAGTTGTCGTGAATGCTGTTGGATTAAACCTGTTCAAAACCAGTATTAAAGACTTTCGGTTTAGACATGTTCCAGCAGGATGAGGGTTGTTTGGAAACGTGGACCAGAAGACACAAGTGGAAGCTGCTTGCAAATACATTTAAAATTCAGAACAGGAAGTAGTACTTTGCCCAAAACGTTGTGGGAGTCTGGAACAAGCTACTCAGCTGTATTGTTGACGCCAGTACTGTGCTTTCTTTAAATAAATGGCTGGATGAGACTGATATTCTTGTATCAACTAACTACTAACTACCAAACAGGCTGGAATAATCTCCTCTCCTTGTAACGTTTCATAGTTTCTTAGGCCTTGTTACTTTGTTGTTAATACAAACTATTTACTTCTGGTCTTGTATTGGGGTAGAGATTTGGTCCATTACTACTTCAAATAGAGCCTCCTTTTGATGTTGGTTGTTGTGTTGCAATATTTTAATAGTAAAAAAAGGTGTTACAGCATTTACTGCTGACAGAGTTGCAGACAGAATCTTCACTTTAGACTTTTCCTAAAATAGGTTTCCAGCATTGTTATTTGCTATTTGCTTGTGGTATCTTTCAGCCTTGTGATGTACAGAGCACTTAAATCATTCTGTACATCAAGAATACTTCAGGTTTGTTTAATGAGGTCAAACACAATATCCCACAGTTTAGTTTTTGTAACAGCAGCGTTCTTTTGTGCTCTTGTTGAGGGAGACATTTAAAAAAAAAATTGAAGGTGCTGAGAAAACGGTCACTTTACTGCTGTAGATGTAGCACCAGTGAATCGTTACACTCTCTACCATATTTTAGGAACTTCAACATTCTTTTTAATTTTCTCCGCTTCTCTAAAATGCCTCCATCTTGTAGCTTTTTGCTTGTTCCTTACAAGAGCCAGGCCGTGACACCTGACAGGCAGGAATTTGCTATGCAAAATAACTGCTCAGGACAGGTTTTGCTTGTCGGCTGTCTTTGAAATCGAGATGCTCATTGATCTGTTGGAAGGCACAGCAGATGCCTTTTTTTCCCAAGACCGCTACTTGAATCGTTTCTATGTCTTAATGACAAGATAAGGATAACCAATGTGCTTTGGAGGGATTTTGGTTGAGGAAAAGCCAAATTGGGTCTTATCTACTTGAGAGGTAATGACTTCCTTCTTCAAAACATATGGTAACGGGGGGTTGAGCTGCTGTAAGTTTGCAGCCTGACTGCCTGACTCGTGTTGTCTTGGCACCTGAGAGTGTTTGCTGTCTGGGGCAAGCTGGACCCAGTGAAACTGAGAGCCGCTTGTTGTGGGAACAATTTTTTAAGGAACCCATGTCGGTGTCAAATGACAGGCATCAGTGTGGATTTGTGCTGCGTAGCCATCTATATATTTACTCCATCTCTCTCTTTGCAAATACAGTAGATGTGTTTTTGTCCAT